CAATCATGAAAATCGAAAATTATTGTAAATATTTTTTTACTAAAAATAATGTAATTAAAAAAAATATTATTATATAATAAAAATATAGGAAGAATGAAAAAATAAAAAAGGGTTTTATAGCGAAACGTAATTATTAAATAATAATTAAAATAATAATATAAGCGAAATAAAAATTTTTAATACTCTGGGAGGATTCGAACGCAGGCGGCTCATAGCGAAAAAAATTCACGCTTCTAAAGGCCTTTAACGATTGCGGCTAAATTTGCATTTATTATCAAACTAAGAATATAATAATAATAATTTTAATTATAATTATAATGATAATTAATAATAAGAAATATTATTATAATTATATAGTAATGTTAATAATAAAAATATATGAATAGTAGTAATAATAATATTTTATTTATTTATTTATTTGCTTGAAAAATAGAAATAATAATATAATTGAAATAATAGTAATAATAATAAAAAAAAATAAATAAAAAAGTAGTAGTAAAAATAATAATAATAAATATATTGTAATAATAATTTATCATAATTATTATAATTATTTTTTATTATTATGTTAATCAATTAATAATAATAGAAACAATAATGATAAGAATAAAATGCATTGCAAATAAATTAACATAAAAATTGTGCAATTGAATAAAAGCGAGTTCTCAATGTAAATAATCGTTTGAATTTTACATAACTGATTAGACTTTTGAATAAATTATCCACTTGAAACTAAACTTTACCAGTTTATATAAAAATCATCAGTTTTCATTTTTCCCTTTAATTTTTTTTTTTTTTTTTTTTTTTTTTTTTTTTTTTTTTATAGAAAAAATTCTCTTTTCTGTTAATCATGCAAATGTCATAATTTTATTAATAGAGGGCATTAAACCTCGAGTAAACGTTTAGAAAAAAAAAAATGTTAAAAATAACACAGTGAATTTTCCTGTCTTACTTGATTGATTAAATATTATTCCATATTTTTATGGTTATAAAAGTAAACGTTTTTTTTAAAGAAACACTTTATTGTGCATATACACACACAAACTTGTAATTATATAGAGGCACCATACTATTTTTATTCTAAGAAATAAAAAAAATTGAAAAGAAAAAAATTTTTTTTTTCTTCTTCTCTAGTTATTAATGTGGAGATTTTTTTTTTTTTTGAAAGGAAAATTAATATTTTTACAAATAAAACAATTTTATATAAGTTTAAAGTTATATTCAAGAAATTAAATTGATTTTGACCTAAAAATTTATTAATTTTGATCTAAAATAATCTATTTTTACTGAAATTAAATTGTTTTTATCTAAAATTACTTATTTTTACCAAAAACTATTCTATAGCGACATTAGACTAATCTACTTTTGCAGAAATTAAACTATTTTGACCTGAAACAATATTTTTTTCAGTAAAAATAGTCTGTTTTGACCTGCAAAAATTTTTTTTCCTACAAACTCAAATAATTGACCCAAAAATAATCTATTTCTACTGAAATTAAACTGTTTTGACCTAAAAATGTATTTTTTTCTAAAGCTTACAATAATCCCCCTAAAATAATATATTTTTACTAAAATTAAACTATTTGGACCTAAAATAAAATATTTTTGGGGAAAATAATATGTTTTGACCTAAAAAAATATTTTTTGCTACAACCTAAAATAAATGACCTAAAAATAATCTATTTTTACTAAAATTAAACTGTTTTGACCTAAAAAATACTTTTTTCTAAAACATAAAATAATCGACGTAAAAATAATCTATTTTTACTGAAATTAATCTGTTTCGACCTGTAATTGCTTCGAAACAAAAAAATCTATTTTTAGTAAGAATAGTCTGTTTTGACCTAAAAAATACTTTTTTCTAAAACCTTAAATAATCGACCTAAAAATAATCTATTTTTACTGAAATTAATCTGTTTCGACCTGAAGTAATGTAATTTTACTGAAATTAATCTATTTTGACCTAAAATAATCTAATTTCACTCTTATTAATCTATTTTGACCTAAAATAATTTATTTTTACTCAAATTAATCTGTTTGGACGTGAAATAATCTATTTTGACCTAAACTAATCTAATTTCACTCATATTAATCTATTTTGACCTAAAATAATTGATTTTCACTCAAATCAATCTGTTTAGACCTAAAATAATCTAATTTCACTCATATTAATCTATTTTGACCTAAAATAATTTATTTTCACTCAAATCAATCTGTTTAGACCTAAAATAATCTGTTTAGACCTAAAATAATCTATTTTGTCCTAATACGATTTACAGTTATAAAAAGATTTTCAACTTTGACTTTAATTAATCTACATTGACCTAAACTCATATTTTTGATAGAAACTAATCTATTTTGCCTCTAAAAGGTAAAATATAAAAAGGTCAACTTTCATAAATAAATTGTCTACTTTGTATAATTTGTATAATTTGACCAGAATTTCTCCTGAATTTTGATGTCAAAATATCTCAATTGGCCAAAAACGAATAGTTTTACATTGACCTAAAGTTATTTATTTATACCAAATTTTTTTATAATTTGACTCGAATTTATTTCAGTTTGACCTGAAAAAAGTATTTTTTTTACTCAATCCAGTTCTAATTTTACTTAAAAAATGTTTTTTTTACTATATATTGACCTATTTAGGACCTAAAATATTTCGATTTCAGTCAAATTTGTATAATTCGACATACAATGATTTTGTCCATATTTGATTAAAAAAATAATACGAATAATTCTTAATCGTACTTTTTTGACCCTCGTGTTACAATTTAGACCTAAAATAATTGTCTATTTTGAAACAAATTTTCATAATTTTATTTCTCTTATTTTAATTTAACCTAAAATAATATATTTTGTATTCAGTTCGTTACTATGAATTAAATTAATTAATTAATTTTTATTTTTAAAATTTAATAATTGTCCTAAAACTAACTTTTTGTGGTCTAAAGCCTATATTTGACCTGTTTGATATATTTTGACCTAAATGACGTTTAAAATTTAAATAATTTTAAGTGTAACTAAAAAATTATCTAACTATAATTTGACCTATAATTGACGAACTCTGACTCAATATTGATAAACTTTGACCTTAATTTGTCTTTATTCAACTCAGCAAATTAGTTTTTTACTCAAATTAATTTTTTCAATTTTAAAAAATATTATATAGTTAAAAAAAATATTATTATTATTGTTGTTTATTTATTATTTGTCAAGTTGATGTCAATTATTGCGTAACGTAACGGCCCCTTGGGGAGCTCTATGGTGCTACTTTTTGACTTGTAATTTAGTTCAAATTTGACCTAAATTATTTCGTAACGTAAGGGCCCCTTGGGGTCTTTTATGTTGTCATTTTTTTACTTGTAGGTTTAAAAAGGTCAAATTTGACCTAAACTGTGACATAAGTTAATGTTTCTTACGGGAGGCGTAATGTAACGGCCCCCTAATGCCCTAATGGGGAAATTTTGACCTGAAGTTAAAAAGTAGGTCAATTTAAACTCATTTTAACGCAATTTTAACGCATTTTAAAGGCCTTTCAGTGGATGTAACTTAACGGTCCTTATGGGGCCCTATGGCAACTTTTTTCGACATGTAGGATAAAATTAATGTTCTCTCATTTTTCGAAGGTCAAATTTGACCTAAATTTCGACGGAACTTAACGTCCCTTAAGTGGGACTTAATTCCCTTATGTCGCCTTTTTTGACCAGCTGATAAATATAGGTCACATTTGACCTAAATTCTGACGTAAGTTAATGTCCCTTATAGGGGACGTAATGTAACGGCTCCTTAATGACACTTATCGGGCTTTTTTTGACCTACAGGTGAAAAAATAGGTCTTATTTCTCCTAAATGATGACGTAATGTATCGGCCCCTTGGGGGCCTTTATGAGCCCACTTTTTTGACTTGTAAGTTAAAAAATAGGTCACATTTGACCTAAATTTTGAAGTAACTTATTTATTCTTATGGGGGACATCATGTAACGGCCCCTTAAAGGACCTTTTTTGACCTGTAGGTCAAAAATAGGTCTTATTTCTCTTAAATTATGGCGTAACGTATCGGCCCCTTGGGGGCCTTTAAGTGGACACTTTTTGACTAGTAGGTTAAAAAAATAAGTCGAAATTGACCAATATTTTGACATAACGTATCTACCTTTATGGGGAGCGTAATGTAACGGCCCCTTGGGGAGGGGGCCCTTAAAAAATCTTAACTCTACGATGGCGAATTTTTCTTTATAATAGGGAGAAATATTTTATTATTATTACTTAATAACAATAATAATAATAATAATAATAATAATAATAATAATTATAATTAACATTTAATTTATATTTCTTTTAATTTACATGTAATTAATGTTTAAATTTTTATATTTTAATTTTATTTATATTTTAATTGTTCATGTTTTAATAAAAAAAGATGTTCCTAGTAAAAATGTTCATGATAATAATGTGAAAAAAAAGTAACAATGATTTGGTAAAAAATAAAAGTAAAAAAAAATTTTTTTTCCTTTTAAATTGAAGGGGAATTTTTTTTTTTAAAATAGATTAAGATAAAGAGAATAGGGAATTCCATAAGCCAAAATTCAATGAGGAAGAAAAAGGAATAGAAAGAGAGAAAGAAAAATGATTAATCATCATAAGTATATAAATGTGTATTGTATTGGGCAATTAACATGAAATGTGTATTAATGCTGCGTTGTCAGTTCCAAAAGATTATATTATATATATATATGTATATATGAAGATCATTTGGAGGGGAATTCTCGTAAACTAATGTATACTCGCTTTGCTTTTGAAATAATATTCTAGTTTCTTACGATACTTGACACGACGCGCAGGTGCTTTATTTTTCAAAAGAGAGAAAACAAAAATTCTTTTTTCACATTATTTTTTTTTTTTAATCACAAAAATTTCTTTTTTTATCAATGAAAAAAAGAATTACGTTTTTATTTATAATTTTTGTGTGAATAATATTTGTTTTCATTAATTTTATAATCTTTCTTTGTTCTTCTCTTCTTTTTCTTTTTTTTTTTTTTAATCAAAAATCGTGCTTTTCTCTTTGTATATTAATAATTAGTGCCGATAGTGTATTGTGGATATATTGATAATATAGTTTTATATATTTTGTTTTTATATAAAAGCAAAAAAAAAAAAAAACAAAAAAAAAACAAGAAAATAATAAGAAGAAAAAATATCGGGAATGAAAAAAAGGAATGTGTGGAAAAGAAAGAAAATTGACTTAAAATTGTTTTCAAAGTCATTTACATTTGTTTATTATACTTGAAAAGAAATTTTGTACGAGGAAAAATATTATCATTTTCCCCCCCTCTTTTCGTTTTTGGTAATTTTAACACTTATTAACCCCCCAAGCCCCCCACTTCTGCCCTTTCAACAAATTTCTTTTCACCAGTAAGTATTTTTAATTTTCATGTATATTAATTAATATATATTTATTATTATTTTTATTATTATTATTATTATTTTCATTAATTCGTATAATTTATTATTATAATTTAATATTTTTATTTTATGTTTAAAAAATTTTGCACTTAGATTTTTTTAGATTTTAAATATTTTTAATTTATTATATTATTATTAATAATAATAATAATAATAATAAAAATAAATTTAAAAAAATTATTTTTTTTTTCATTTTATATTATTGTTATTATTATTTAACATTTTGAAAATTTTGCATTTATTATATTTTCTTTTAGATTTTAGTTAATTTTAATTTTTTTATTATTAATTTTTCTTTTTTTTCTTTTTTTTGCCTTTTGAAAAAAAAATTCTTTGTCATTATTTTATCATTAAATAAATATTACAGATAATTATTATAATCTCTTGTGGATTAAAAAAAATTTATAAAAAAATTTTTTTTTGACATTTTCTTTTCAAGTGACTAAAAATAAAAATTTTTAAAAATAATAAAATTTGAATTAAAATTGTATAGAAATAAACAATAATTTACAAATTGGTTTTTCAAATTTTCAAAATGCAATAAAATTTATTTATTTATTTAAATATGAAATTTTAAAAATTATTTATTATTATTTTGCTATTATTAAAATAGCCATTTAAAAAATATATAAGTTAATTTTAATGATTTATTAGTAATTTATGTAATTAATAAGAAGAACAAAAGTATAATTACAAAAGCGATTATGACAATAATAATGATAAAATAAGAATAATAATAACAATAATAATAATAAAAATAAAAACATTAATAAATTATTTTTTGTTCATCTATTTACTACTATATTATTTTGTTTATTTATACTTATTATTAATTAATAATAAATTTACATTTTTACTGCAATAATAATAAAAAAAAATAAAACAATAAAAGAAAAATAGTATTAATAAAACAAATATTAGTAGTAAACAAAGAATAATATTAAAAATTAAAATAATAGTAATAAAAAAGTAGTAGTGTAAAATAATAATAATAATAAACAATAAAGACTTTAGAAACTTATTAAAAGCTGTGACAATTTTTATTCATTCTAAAAACGGGAAAATTTTCAAAATTAAAAATTATTTTTAGCTTAAGTTTAATTTATTTAATATATTAATTAATTAATTAATTAATTAATTAATAATATATTATTATAGTATTATCACATAATGAGGTCAATTAATTCATGATAAAAAGACTTACATGCGCAATGAAATCTTAACATATATTTACATTTATTTGTTTTTTTTTTTTTTTTTTTTTTACATTAAACAGAATTCATTAATTCTAATTTAACGCTTATAATTAGTATAGTCAATCAATTAATGATAAATTTTAAAGAAAAATTTAAAAAAATGTTTTTTTTCCTTCACTAGAATTAATTACAATTGTATCTAAGAAGAAAAAAATTAACCAGAAAATCATAGCAAGAATCTCAATCTGCGAGTGATTTTGAAATTGATCGTATAAAAAAGTGAGATAACGAGAGAGAGAGAGAGATAGAGAGAAAGAGAGAAATTATTTATAATAATTATAATGAAGAATAATAATTATTATTTAAAAAAAAAATTCAGTGTATTTTTTTTTAATTCGGATTTTTTTTAATATTAAATTATTAATTAATTCACTAATAATAATAATTATTGTTATTATTAATATTAAAAGAAATTTCAGTAATTTTTTTTTAATTCAGTTTTTATACAGTCGGATTTTATTTGATATTAAATTATTAATTAATTTTTTAATTAATTCACTAATAATAATTATTGTTATTATTATTTATAATATTAGTAAAAATAGTAAAAAATTATCCAGAAGTACCTGAATTATTTCAACTCTATTATTATTTTATTTTATTTAAAAAAAATTAATAACTAAATAATTAATTAATTTATTCAATAAGTAATGAATTCTTTTACTAATTAACTGACTTATTAATTAATTAATTTATTTATTTATTTATTTATTATTATGAGCTATGAATAATTTGAATTAACATTGAGTCACTTGAAATCAATCATGTCACATGTCACGTGACTAAAATAATTAATTTACCTAAAAGTTTATTTAAAAAAAAAAGAAAATAAATTAAATTAACTTTTTTACTAATTTCCATTAATAAATTAAATTCAGCTGTTTGTTTGTGTTCCTTTTTTCTTTATTTTTTGTTTGTTTTTCGTATTATTTTTCCTATAAATTGTTAAAAAAAAAAAAAATTGTGTAGAAACTGTTGTTAGAAAAAAAATGTCGTGATAATATAATTGTTTATTTTTGTCTGTTTAAAGTTAAAATACAACGGAAAAACAAGTAATTATAAGCATTTATTGTATCGCAGTCAAGTTGTAAGAAAAAATTTTTATTCAATCAAAATGATAATTTCGCTTAGAATAATTCAAATCTAGAATTTTGTTTCAATAAACAAATAAAATTGCGCCTTTTTTTAATTTTTAAAAAATTCTTAAAAATTTTTAGTGGCTTAAAGGGGGGAAGGGGGGGGGCGGATGTTAATTAAAACATTTTAGAAAATAGTACTTAATAAAAATAACAGTAATAATATTGAATTTTTTTTTAATTTTATTAATATTATTTATTATTTTATTATAACATTGTATTGTACTTCACTATATAATTTATTTTATTTATTTATTTATTTATTTATTTACCATTATAAACGGGACTTATTTATTTATTTATAAATAAATAAATAAAAAACGTAATAATATTACGTTTATTTATTTATTTTTTTTATTTTTTATTTATTTATTTATAAACGTTACATTAAAAATAAAACAGAAATAATTGAAATCACGTTTTCAAATATAATTATATTCATCACAAAAATTTGAAATTGTAATTTAATGTATTTATTCAATTTTTTGAAAGCAGAACACATAATTATAGAGTGTAAATTAGTTCAGGTAAATCTAATTAGTTTTGGTTTTCTTTGAAAGATTTTTTTTTCTTCTTTTGCATTTATATTTGAAATTGTGTCCTTTAACATAAATTTAACGACTTTCGTAAATTGAAAACTAATTTTCGTAAAATGATGCACAACCATTAATAGGTCATTAAAAGTTTAATTTTCTTTAATTCTAATTTTCTATTATATTAATTGTAGAATAAAATTTAACAAAATTATTTAGAAATAACAAAAATACATCAAAAAATTTTTTTTAGCAATATTATTTATTTATTTATAAAACAGCCATTATTATTATTATTATTAGATATTATTATTATTATTATTATTATTATATTATTTTTACTACTATTTTTATTCTTAATGTTTTTATTATCATTATTTTTTATTTTACTACTACCTTTTTTTATTACTACTATTTTTATTGTTATTGTTTATATTATTATTACTTTTTTTTACTACTACTTTTTTTATTACTACTATTTCTATTTTTATTGTTTTTATTATTATTATTAATTTTTTTTACTACTAATTTTTTAATACTATCTACTATTTTTATTGTAGAACTATTTTTTTTTTTTTTTGTATTGTTTCCTGTAAAAAAATATGAAAAATTTCAGGGAAAATAATTTATTTAATTAATTGAAATGAACTGGGAAATTAGATAAATTTTTATTTTTGATAACAAAAATAATATTTCTGCTAAAATACAATAGTAAAATTTTTGTCAATAATTGTTTTTAAAAACTTTGAGGGAAACCCAATTTTTATTTAAATTATTAATAGCTGTTGATAATAATAAAAAATGTATTATCATTTCTTTAAAAATCTTCATATGAATAAGTGTAAAAAAACAAAATTAAGCTTAAGTCGTTAATTGTGGTAATTATGATAAATAAATAAATAAATAAATAAATAAAAATAATATTTAAATCTATATGCTTGAAAAGAATTTAAAAACGAAAAAAAAACAATATTATTAGTCATTTTTTTAAATAAAATTTTTCGTTACAGACTTCCAGTTGTGAAAAGAAATTTACAACTTGTAGTTTATCTTAAAGACTAACATTGTTTGGAATAAAAATTCATCAGTGTCAGAAAATATCCAAGATACACGAGTTATGACTGATGTCAATGGTAATTTGCTTCACACATTTTAACGCAAAAAAAAAAAAAAAAAAAAAAAAAAAAAAAAAAAAAAATGAAAAAAATATCATAAGATAGTGGAAAATCTCTTATATTGAAAGACAAAAAATAATAGCAAATTTTCACTGAATCGAGATTAAATGATGAGAAAACAATTCTGGAAAATACTTCACGTGAAGGACGTTTGAATAGATTTTAATTTTTAATTTTTTTTTATAAATTCCAATCTATATATTTATATTTTCAATATTATATTCTGTAATTTAAAAAAATAATTCTTTTATTATTATTATTATTTCATATTGTAAGAAAAAAAATTTATTCTAAAATTTTCATTTGGAAAATATAATTATAACAAATTAGAAACAAATAATATTTCTTTTTCATTAATTGGAAAAATATTAATATTTTATTAATTTCTAGGCCTAAAATCTAAAGAAAAACCGGAAGTTCAAAAAATTCTTGCCAATCATGATGTTATGGTAAGTTTACAGTGTTTTTGAATTTTTATAAAAATAATTCAATTTTGTTTTCTTAAATATTTTTCGTAAAAAAAATTATTTCTTTATTTTCTGTTTAGAAAATTTTGTAGAATTTGTAAATTTTATTATTAATTTTAAAATTTTCGTGCAATTATTTGGAAATTTTCTCGTTCTATTGTTTAAAATTTTTATAAATTTAAATGAAACTTTCAAAATTTACCAGAAATTTTACAAATTTCATATTCAAAGTTTCATTTCATTAGTTTGAAATTTTTTAAATTCAATTGAAAACTTTACAAATTTAATTGAATTTTTGTAAATTTGAATTAAATTTAACAAATTTTATTGTTTATTAAAATTTTCGTCTCAAAACTTGGAATTTTTTAAAAATTTAATAGAAATTTTTTTAAAATTAATTGAAAAATTATAAAATGTAATTGAAACTTTAGAAATTTAATTCAATTTTCATCAATTTAAATGAAATAAAACAAATTTTATTGAAATTTTCGTCTCAAACTTCGAATTTTTTAAAAACTTAATCGACATTTTTTTTTAAATTAATTGAAACTTTATAAAATGTAATTGAAACATTACAAAATTAATTGAATTTTCATAAATTTAAATGAAATTTAACAAATTGTATTTTTTTGAAATTTTCATTTCACAACTTTGAATTTAAAAAAAAAAAAATTTTTTTTTTGAAACTTTATAAATGTAATTAAAACTTTACAAAAATTAAATAAAATTTTATAAATTTAAATGAAATTTAATAAATTTTATTGTTTATTGAAATTTTCGTCTCAAAACTTCTAATTTTTTAAGAATTTAATAAAAATTTTCATCTATTACTTAAAAATTTCTTAAAAATTAATTGAAACTTTACAAATTTAAATAAACATTTAAAAATTACCAGAATTTTACAATTTGATAAATTTTAAAAAATTTAAATTCTTATTCCTCTAAATTTTATAAATAAAAGATTTTATTGAAATTTTATAAAAATTGCTTAATATTTTTTAAAAATTTTTTAAATTTTATTAAAACTTCATAATTTTTTAACTATGATTAAAATTGCATTAAAATATTTAATACTTTATTGAAATTTTTGTAACTTTTATTAAAAATTGTATAAACTTAATTAAAATTGTAAAGAAATTTAAAAAAACTTTGTTAGAAATTTTTTCCAGTTTTATTAAAATCTTACGAAAAATTTTTATCAAAATTTAAAATATCTTATTTTTTAAAAAAATTTTAATAAATTTTATTCTTTATAATTTTATTATTCAAAGTTTTACAAATAATAAAAAATCGGAAAAGTGGGAGTTACTTGGGTTTTTTGTGTGCAAATGACAGCAAAAATATAGTGAACCTGATTGGTGATAATGCTTATCTCTAATAATACTTTATCTTATATACCGAATAGTTGTATTTCTATAAAAATGTACGGGACCCTAAAAATAAAAAAAAAATTACATTTTGTTTCCTGATTAGAAAATTGGTTATTAATAAAAATTCGAAGTTTTAAATAAATTTTAATTTTAAAAATTCAAAGAAAAAATTCTTTGACATTAAAAAAATTCTTTGACATTAAAAAAATTAACAAAAAATGTCAAAAAAATAAAAAATATTTTTATAATAAAAATAATAAAAATATAATATAAAAATTTATAATAAATAAAGAGAAAAAAAATTATTTTTAATTTTAATTTAATTTTCAGTACGTACATGGATTCAAGGAGAGTGTTGTGTCAACTCTTCTCATTTATTTGACCTATATTATCACTGGTGGATTATTAAGACTGATTTTTCACTGGTATCCGTATTTTCAACTTTATGCTACACACAAAAAATGTCCATTGAATGAAGCCACGAAACTTCTTATTATTGTAAGATTTCTCTTCTTCTTCTTTTTCCTCTTAATAAATTTAAATAAATTTTTTTTTAAACTTTAAAATTTGTTTTTGCAATTATCAGAGAGAAAGTTAATAATTTTCTTTCTTCCTTATTAAGAAGTTTGAAGAAACTTTTAATTATTTTTAAATTTTGGCGCGTAAATCATAATTTTCCGTTAAAATATTGGCGGTAAATTTAAAATTTGGCGCGAAAATCATACTTTTCCGTTAAAATATTGGCGGTAAATTTAAAATTTGGCGCGAAAATCATGTTTTTCCGTTAAAATATTGGCGGTAAATTTGAATTTTCCCACCAATATTCTCTTTCATTTTTAAAATTTATTCCTTCGCAATTAATTTTGATTTTTTGTCCATTTCTTTTTTAGAGTAATTATCAAGAAAAGCACAAGACATATTTTGTCAAAAATGTGCTGACAATATCGACAAAAAATTTAGGGTAAGTTTTTTAATTTCCAAAAAAAATAAAAAATGTTTTATTATTTTTTTTATTTATTAATTAAAATTATTAATTATATACAGAAAATTTTCGATTTTCTTGACAAATTTTATCATTCTTTCTTTCTTTTTATAATATAGAAAAAATTCAGTTGCAAAATTATTAAATACTGATGATCGGAAATTAATAAAAAATATCGAGGGAAAAAAATTGAATTTTCACTTAGATAATGGTTCACATAAAAATATTATAGAATATAAAGCATTTTGGTACAAGAAACAATGTTTTATATGGGACGAAGAAACATGTCAATTCTCCAAATTAATTGGCCTCGAAAAATATGTCCAAAATTCAGAACTTCATCTTGGTAATAAACAGGGATTATCAAAAGATGAACAACTATTGAGGTAGAGTGTGAAATCACCTTTAAGCCCTTTAAGATTGTATTTAAAAATATTTGTGATTCCCCTATGTATTTCATAGAGATATAAGAGTTGAGATAGAGAGAGAGAGAGAGTCAGCGAGTGTATTTAACGTCCCCTTTTCTTTCTCTCTCTAGAGACGCATGCGCACGAACGACGCGCGAATTTCAAACGAAAAACACGAAAAATATGTTATGATCATATAGGAAAATGAGAAAAATAATTTAAAAAGTAAATTATAATATTTTACATACTTTTTGTACATAATTCATTATTTTTATTTATTCTTTAGAAAAATTATTAATATAAATATTTATTTTGATGTTAAATATTTTAGTTTATTTAAAATTTTATTTTAATATTTATTTTTAATATTTGTTAAATTAAGAAATTCAACCCAAACATAACCTTAAAATGATGTTCTATACCTTTCTTCAAAAAGAGCTTTACAAATAATACCTTTAAAAAAAAATTTTTTATTTAACACTTTCAGGAGAATTACCTATGGCTACAATGAAATAATTGTACCCGTCACTAGTATTGGTGTTCTAATTGTTTTGGAAATTTTAAATCCATTTTATATTTTCCAAATTTTCACTCTGATTTTGTGGTTCTCGTCATTTTATTATTATTACGCCACTGCTATTGTTTTTATGTCAATTGGAGGAATTACGACATCAGTTATCGAAACTCGGAAGGTAATTGAAAAAAACCATTTTTTCAACCATTTTTTTCTCTTTATTTTATTTTTAAATTTCTTTTTATTATAAAATATTAATTTATAATTATTACTATAATATATGATATAATTAATATTATAATATACAATATAATTATTATTATAATATATAATAATATAATTATTATTATAATATATATAATTTATTTATTTATTTATTTATAATAATTATTTATTATCTTAATTATTCAATTTACTCCATCGATTAAGGTCTACGCAGGATAAAATTTCTTGATTTTATATTTTAATTTTTTACATTAGAGAGAAGGAAGGATAGAAATATCGTTCGCCTTTCTCTAGAAATAGTCAGAAGGGATTTCCCGTCTTTTTTCTCTCTAATGTAAAAACGAACGTAAAGGCCAAAGCACAATTGCTTCGCAAATCACAATTTATTGTGCGTTGACCTTTATTGTAATGGTAAGAGTGAGTGAGAGAGAGATAGAGATATATGTCTATCCTTCACTCTCTCATTCTTACGATTGCATTCGCATTTAGGAATCCATTCGTGCTTTAACCTTTAATATTTAATTTAATGTTTTATTTTTTTTTTTCTTTGTAGAACCAAATAAATCTACGTAATACTGTCGCTTCTACGGAGACTGTTCGTGTTTTACGTGAAAATGGGGAATTTGAAAGTGTTTCTAGTGCAGAATTGGTACCAGGTGACGTCATAGAACTCCCAAGATTTCAGGGCTTGGTCGTTTGTGACGCAGTTTTACTAACTGGCAATTGTATCGTCAATGAATCGATGCTCACAGGTGATTTATTATTATTTATTCATTATATCTAAAACGTTCAATAAAATAACTGGTTGAAAATTTATATAATTAAAAAGGTACATTTAATCCAGATAAATCTAACACGAACATAACCTATAATCTGTTTGCTCCTGAGGTACTTTTTTTGGAGCGAATCACATTTTTTTATTATTATTACTATTATTATTATTATTTTTGTTATTTTTATTATTATATTTATTAGTGTTTTGCTTATTTTTATTATTATATTTATTATTGTTTTTATTATGATGATAGAATTTTATTCATTAATGTTACAAATTATTGTTTCACATCCTCTTCCAGCCTTTGGTTTCTTATTCACACTTACATAAACATATAATATAAAATATTAATATAGTATATAAATATATATATATATGTCAATACACAAAAAGAAATTATAAATTACATTTACATTAATACTCTCTTACGTAAAATTGTTTCTAGTTCATTTAGATTCTTACACAGGTTTTTATCACAATTGCCTTTCAATCCCTCAATTAGTCTACTCCTCCAAAGTTCCTTTGCACTTTTGCCTCTCCAATCTTGCCACCATGTTTTGGAGTCTGCTTTTAGCTCTTGGAGAACGGTATCACATTGGACTACGTGTTCCAAAACTTCTTTTTCCGACCTGCACCCTCTGCAGGATCTATCTGAAAAGCCCTTTTTCTCTTCTTTTATTGCATTTCCACATCTCCATCTAGCCCAGCCCTCTTTTTGACTTTTTGACATATCTTTCCTCCCCCAATATACCTCCATGTTTATTCCTTCTTTAATTGATTTGTAATATTCACAAAAGGACGATTTATCCACCTTTGACCAGTCCGTTTGTACGTCTTGTTCCAATTTAACTTTAATTAGCTGCCTAACTCTTGCCTCGACTTCCTCCACTGGTTTCCTATCCCACAGTTGATTAATAATCTGACCGTCTCCTAGACTCTTCAAGCACCGTTCCAAATCTTTCCCCCACTTGGATGGATTGTTGTTCTTAATTGCCCTAATTTCTTCCATCAGACACTTCCTTACCCACCTGTTTTCTTCCATTTTGTATATTTTTATCATGAAGTTGATCGATCTTTTAAATGCTTCGATCTCAATGCTCCTTCTTCCTGCCTCGAGCTTCCAGATATAGTCTGGCGTGTTCTTTGCTAAACCCATACTCATTTTAGTATATTTTCCCTGCAACCTCTCCAATTCCTCTCGTCTGCTCCAACCCCACAGTTCTACACCGTACATAGCTCCTGCTTTCACTGTTGAATCCATAAAGTAGAGTTTCCTTCTTAAGTCAGTGATTCCCGCCCTCATAGTCTCCCCCCAGACTTTATTTATCAGCAGTTGCGTCTTTCCTATTGCCTTATTTATATGTGCTTTGTAACTATTCTTGGTAGTGAACCAAAAACCCAGATATTTAAACTTTTGTACAATTTCCAATTGCACTTCTTTATACTTCCACTCTTTTTTACTTCTCCTGCCTCCATTACTAAAGACCAAAATCTTCGTTTTGTCCGTGTTCACTTCCAGCTGGTTTTCATCCGACCACCTTTCTAAAGTCTTCAGCATCCTTTCCAGTTCCTGGCCGTCTTCCGCTAACAGCACCACGTCATCAGCGTATATGAGTACAAATATTTTCACTCCATGATTTGAGCCTGATCCTACCGCCGTTCCTCCTTCCTTCTTTTCAGTCAGCGTTTCCTCCAGATCGTTTATAAAGATGTTGAAAAGTATTGGACTTAGTGGACAGCCCTGGCGTACCCCGTTATTTGTTTCAAACTTTCCTGTCACCTCCCCATCTATTAGAATTCCGTTCCAAGTTGTTCTATAAATCTCTTTCGTTACTTCTAAGAATTTTCCTTTAATTCCCATATCTTCCATCTTTTTCCACAATTTCTTTCTATTAACTCTGTCAAAAGCTTTTTTGAAATCAACAAAACATGTGTATAGTTTGCCGCCCTTTCGCCTTAGTCTATTGCCTATCAATGTGTTTAAAACAAAAATATGTTCTGCCGCTCCTCTTTTGCTTCTGAAGCCCCCTTGCGCCTCCGTCAGTTTATTTTGTTCTTCTAGCCACGCTCCTAACCTACTAGCCATTATTGTAGCCAGGATCTTATATCCAATATCAAGTAGAGAGATCCCTCTATAATTGCCTACTTGATTCTCGTCCCCACTCTTGTAAATAGGGAAGATAATTGCCATTCTCCAATCCTGCACAATTTCTCCTTTTTCCCAGATTTCTTTAATTAAGTTATACAGCTCTTCTTTACCGTTATCAGACAGGTTTGTCAAAAATTCCGTTGTAATGCCGTCCTCTCCTGCTGCTTTTCCTGCCTTCAATTTTCCCATAGCCTTCTGCACTTCTTCAAATTCCAGAGGTTTATTTAAAGCTTCTGATTCTTCTGCCATCCCGTCCTCTCTTGGTTCTTCTCTTTTTCCCTCTCTTTCCATTTCTTCAATCCCCTCAGGTTGCTCATTCAACAAGTTCTCAAAGTGTGCCTGCCATTCTCTTCCACTAATATTATTTTCTATACATTTCCGTTTCTTTCTGAACCAACTCATCGCTCTCCACCATTCCGACAAATTTTTGCTTTCTTGCACCTGTTTCTGTTTGTCATCTATCCACTTTTTTATTAGTTCCTTTCGTAGTTTTGCAGTTTCTTTCCTGCATGTCAAATATTCCATTTTGCTGCTCCAATCCCTTTTCTTTCTAAAAACGTGTAATTTTTTAAAAAGTTTCTTCCTCATTGTTCGATATTGACCATTGTCCCATCCATCTTCAAACGTTCTAGCGTAGTTTCCTTTTGACGTCATATTTACTTTTTCTGCCGTTTCATTAATTATCTGTTTAATTTTCTGCCACTTCGTTTCTATGCTAATAGAGTCCTCTATTCCTTCCATAGCTGCTACTGTTTCTTCTTTAATTTTCTCCCATATTTTGTCACTCACTTCTTTGTATTCCTCTCTTCTAGCCGCTTTCCATCGGAGTTTATATTTAGTTCTCTTCCTCAGATTCTCTGTGTTCTCTTCTCTCCTTGGGTCTCCCCAGTCTAATCTGTAAAATACCATTAGATGATCGGAGCCTTCCTGTGGAGATATCTTTAGTCCCTTGAACCATTCTGGTATGTTTTCTTCTTCCATTTTAATCAGTACTAAGTCAAGTACACTTCCCAGTCCCATACCATGTCCTACACATGTTATTTTTCCTTCCTCGTCTCCTTCAGCTCTGCCATTCATGATCATCATCGTTCTCCTTTCACACCAATCTATAAGTTTTTTGCCTTCTTGTCTAATTTCCTTATCTTCAGACTTCCTAAGTGGCCATTCGTTTACCTCGTCCATCCCACAATTTGCTACGCCTTGCTCTTCACCTATTCTGGCGTTTAGATCTCCTGCTACAATTATTTTTGCTTCTGTGCCTTCTAGATCATCAAGCTTTTCGTCTAAAACTTTCAAGAATTTCTTAATGTTTGAGGCTTTGTTATTGTATCCTGTGATTATTATATAATTAATCTTATTGTCCTTTTTAATGTCTATTTGCAAACCGAATTCCCATTCTGTTACTGACCACTCCATCTTCAGTTTCTTTTTTATTCCTATTAATTGCCCACCTCCTGCTCTTCCTCGTCCTGATTTCTCTCGGGTTGCTGCTTTTCCTTGCCACCAATAATTTTTGTTCAAACTCTTTAAAACCTTTTCCATTTTATCTTTTTCTACAAAGGATTCTTGAATAACTATCACATCTCCTCCTTCTAAAGCTTTCCAATTTTTCCTTAAATTACTTAATCCTTGAGAATTGAATTGAATTATCGTCAGCTCCCTAGCTTTCTGCTCTTTTTCTTTAGTCTCGAAATCTCCGCATGTTCCGCCTGTCATCTTTTTCCTGGCATAATCTTAATTCCCCTTCCAATTCATCCCACTTTAGCCAAGTGCCTTCTATTTGTATCATTTGATACACGACTTTTGATTCTTTCCCTCTTTGTCTCCATCTATCAGCCTCCTCTTCCAGGAAATCTTGGATATCTTTCTGTCGATCTGTTAGATCATCCATGATCCAAACACCCCATCCTAATCGATTCAATTTCCTTTTTTCTCTCATAATCTCCCTTTTCTTTGTCCATTCTTCTAAAGTAATTCTCCAACCATTTTTAATTCTTTCCATAGCGTTTACTCTTACCTCTATTTTCAACACATTCAAGATCCAACGCTCGAATTCCTCTTTCCGTTCCCTTGTTGTCAATGTTAGACCTATCACTATAATGTTTTTCTTCCTCGCCCACCTTTCCTTCTTCTCTACTTCCCAGTTTTCCTCGCCTAGCTGTATAGGTTGATTATTATTTGTCGGAGTTGGATTTGCACTTTCAAATTCTGCCCATTGATTACTCAAGTCATTTTCTCTTCCTGTTTCCTCGTGTCGTGTCTGTGAACGTTGTTGCCCTGTTGTATTCGACATATTTGATCTATCATGTTCGAGAAAGTTATCTTTCTGTAGAGTTTGCCTATTGTTTATATTTTTGTATTCTCTCTCCTTTCTCATAATTTCCTTTACGCAGGTTAATTCTTCGTTTTGGTCTTCGATTAGTTTATATAATCTTTTAATCTCCTCCCGGTATTTTGTATTCTCTCTTTTTAATTCCTCGTGGAAATTTTGTTTTTTAATTTCTTCTTCTTTTCTCTCCTTCAAGTCCTTCCTTATCGTCTCAAATTCTGTTCGCATAAGACTTTCCAATTGTGCCAATCGCGACTCCCACTTTTCTTCTATTTTAGATTCCCAATCCCTTCTATCTTCCTCCGGACAATCTTTTTTTCCTTCCTCATTTGCCTTGTATTTTGTATCTGTTTGAGTAGTCTTGTTATGTATATTGTTTTTCTGTGGTGTTCTTATTAATTGTTTCGTCGTTACAAATACATTATCAGCTTTTTCGCTAAAAGTTTCCTGCCTTTGGTTAGAATTGACATCCTCAGTTTGCAAGCCATTCCCGGTCACAACCTTGGGATTGTCTTCTCCTTTTTGTTTTTCGTTTTCATTTACCTGTTTATCTTTGCCTTCTTCGATTTCATTGTCACCTCCGGCCTTTGTACTACTAAATCCTTTCCAATAATTCTCTAGATTCTTCATTCCTGTTTCTTCTTTTCCGTTTTCTCCTTTTCTCGGTCTGCCTCTTCTCCTTTTTTTGCCTATTTCGCCTGTTCCTTCTTTATCCTCTGCGACAGTTTCCTCAAAAGATATTAAATCTCGTAAGTCACTCGTGAGTTCTTTCGATGGACTCTGGATGGCGCTCGCGTCGCTCGGTTTCTCTCCGGAAGTCCCAGAAACCGACTGAAGCGCCTCCAAATCACTTATCATCAAATCGTTCATAACCTCACTTTCTAAGTTTCTACACAAAACACTTCGTCCTACGCAACATCCCGCACAACACTTATTACGGCTATCCAGTCCACAACCCTTTATTTAATCGTTCACAACACTTTTATGTATCGTAACAACCAGAAAGCCCTTTTTTTACGGATATAGCGAGAGCGTTTCTCGAGACGCGTGCACATGCCACTTTACTCAAACCCATTGTTTTTATTATTTTAATCCTCTGCCTACTCAGTTGACCTAACCTAGAAATCCAGGAAGGGTCCTGGTATCAAGTGGACTAAAAAAATTCCATTAGTTAAAAAATGATAGAGATATCGTTGTCCTTTTCTTACTAATGAGATTTTTTTTTAGTTAGTCCACTTGCCACCAGGACCTAAATTAAATTCAAAAGCATTACATTGCAGATAAGTCACAACGTTGGCTGAGGGTTAAAAATTAAAATTTCCCTTCAATTTAATTTTCTTTCGGAATAAAATTTTATTTAGTTAAATTATTCTCATAGGTGAATCAGTGCCAGTTACAAAAACTCCATTGCCACATGATCATACATTTTATAATTCTAAAGATTGTGCTCATCATACACTTTACTCAGGAACACTTATCATTCAAACAAGGTAACATTTTTATTATTATTATTATTACTTTTATTTTTATCAGTTAAAAAAAACAAAGTTTTCAACAAATTATTAACAAAAATTAGTTTAGAGAGTGAGTCTTCTGACCATCTTTAAAATATTTCTAATCCATGGCCCAAGGATATAAATTATGTTGGAGATGATTTAACGGATTGTTGTGTCTATGCCTTTTTGCATTAAGGCAGTAGTCTTCTTTAGAAGCCGAAAAAAAGCGTTTTTTCAACAATTTTTTTGAAAGGGAAGAAAATGTTTGCGGTAAACGAAATTTTTAGGTGATATTCTACTATATTTCAGCTTAAAAAAACAATTTTTATTATTAAAAAATATTGAAATTCTTCTAAGTTATAACGATTTTTCTGGAGCGCCTGCAGTCTGCACTTGAAAATCGGTTCCGGTGATGGAGGTCGTGCAATGCATCTGAAACAGTCAAACCAATTTTTTTAAAAATTTTTATAAGTTTCTTTTCTATTTAAACTAAAAAAATACCAAAGAAGTTATAAAATTCCAAATTTTTTCGAAGTTTGAAAAAAAAATTCACTTTTTAAAAAAAAGTCACTTTAAGTTGCAAAAGAAGTAGTTTAAATAATACTTTTGCCCAACCATTTTAGTTCAAATAGAAGATAATTTAATACTGAAGCTAGATCACTTTGATTTTTGTCGATCGGACAAATATTCTTTTTGATATCGCCGGCACTAAAATTATCCGCGTATGCTTTTTGTCGTCGTCGATCGCAGAATTTCTTGGTGGTTTGTTAGTTGGCAAGGTTGGGTAGTTGAGAAAACAGTTGAAAATCAATCAAAATTGGATAGTTGACAAAAAAGTTGAACATCTATCAAGGTTGGGTAGTTGCCACATAATTGTAATTTAGTGTTAAAAATCAATTTGTATTTTGAGGTTATATTGAACCTGGTTTTCATTTTTAGGTTAAAACTTTTCTATTTTAATCATTTTAATATAAACTGAAAAACCATTTTTCTTCTAGATATTATAGAGATAAACCTGTATTAGCTAGAGTAATTAGAACTGGTCTGCAAACAAGTAAAGGCAGTTTAGTTGCTGCAATTCTCTATCCACCGCCAGCCGATTTTAAATTTGATCAGGATTCATATAAATTCATTGGAATTCTTTCAATTATCGCAGCACTTGGTTCTATTTACGCATTAGTCAGTAAGGTAAATTGAAAAAAAAATTTCTTTTTGTTTTAAGCAATTATTAACTAATATTTCACAAATTACGTAACTTTTTAAGGGTTGTTAAATGCGTCGCAGGTCAAATACGCAATTTGTTTTGTCAACTACCCAACCTTGCTTATTGAAATTATCGAAAAGTATCGAAAATTTTATTCAGCAGGGTTGGGCAGTTGGTAACTTACCGACAATAGCATAAAGGCTATTCTGAAGGCTTTAAGGGGACTTTAAAATTTATAAAGGCTTTCTAAAGGGGTTTAAATTTTTTAAAATACGTTACGTAATTTGTGAAAGCTGCCTTAAGTTTCGTTAATTTATTTTTGAAAATAAAATCATTTTTAATTTCAAAAAAGATATCAAGAGGATTTTCAGCATGGGTAACAGCGGTAAAATCACTAGATTTAATAACAATAGTAATTCCCCCTGCTCTGCCAGCAGCGATGACAGTTGGAAAAATTTATGCCCAATCGAGATTAAAAAAGCGACAAATTTATTGTATCAATAATCGAGTTATAAATGTTGCCGGAAGTATTAATTGTGCCTGCTTCGATAAGGTAGTTATGAATTTCATAAAAATTTTAATTATTTCAAAAATATTCTCTTACAAAATATAAAGGTCAATGTACAATGAAACTTCTAAGTTCAGATATCGTAAGTTTTATCTTAGAGAGAAAAGAATAGAAACTACCTTTGGTCCTTTATTAAAAAAAGACAAAAGATATTTCTATCCTTTTCTCTCTCGTCTATAGAGCTTACGATAACCATGTGCCGGTAAGAAAGGTATCTTTATTATAATTTTTTTCATTTATTATAGACCGGAACTCTTACCGAAGATGGATTAGATATGTGGGGTGTGGTTCCAAGTGTAAATAATGAATTTGAAGAGGTTGAGAAAAATGTACCAAAGTTGATGAATCATCATATTTTTCAAGGAATGCTGGTATGCCATAGCTTGACGCTAATTGAAGGCGAACTTTGTGGTGATCCTTTAGATGTTAAGGTATTATTTTTGCGTTACTATCTCATCTAAAATTTCAATTGGCCCAATAAGAGGCATTGGAATTTGAAAATTATTACCTAATAATTTGCTAATGAATATTAAAGTCAAATGAAATCTACTAGGAATAATGAATAACGAAAATAATATTTATTCAAGATGTTTGAAAGTACCGGATGGACTTTAGAGGAGCCAGAAGTTGAGGACACTAGTAAATACGATCTTCTGGCGCCTACAATAGTGAAACCACCGGAATGCGCAAATTTCACTGAATTTACAAATAATGAAATTGCCGAAATTGGAATAATTAATCAGTATCAATTTTCTAGTTCTCTGCAACGTATGTCTGTGATAGTTAGAATTTTAGGTTCGAAAAATTTTAAAGTTTATACAAAGGGCTCACCGGAAATGATTCTTAGTCTCAGTCGTCCCGAAACTGTGCCCAAGGGAATAATGGATGATTTGAAGAAATACACTGAACAAGGATATCGTGTCATTGCAATTGGATCTGCAACTCTCGACTATTCTTACGCGAAAGTAAGTACTCTCCCAAAACTTCTGGTTATCGTTCTATATAATACTAGCTGTCGTACCCGTCTTCGACGGGTTGTAGTTTCTAATAATGCACTTAAAAGTGTATCTACCAACCTAGAAAACCGGAAAATAGCCGGGAATTTGATTTGATAGGGAAAAAATAATAATTAGTTACTATTGTCTATTTCATTAGGAAAATAATACCATTTGAAACAGTAACCGACTTTTTATTATCAAATTAGTTATTTTTAACAAATTCAAATGCAGAAAACAATATTTCTTAATTTGTAGTACTTCAATCAATATAATGTATTAAAATCAATCTAAAACTTCCTCCAGTTTTTTGAGTCATAGTACAGTCTAATTCGAACTAATTGTATAGCAAGTAAATCCAGTTTTTCTCGGTTACATTAAATTCCCAGATATTTTACGTCTTTCCTGGTTGGTAGACACCCTGTTAAATTGTTTTAAACCAAAATAAACACCGTTTTTAACTTTTGTCTTTACATTGATCAAAATATCTCTAAAAGTTAAATCAGAGAGCCCACAAATACTACTGAATTAAGTTTCATAACAATTGGTATAAATTATAATTTTTTCAATTTTTTGATATTCAAAACATTTTTATACTTACATCTTCGTTATAAGAAAGTAATTTTGAAAAATTATGCTAAAATGTGACTAAATAACATGTAATACTCAACTATAGAAAGTTTAGAAGCAATCCATAAAAAAATATAAAATTTAGAAATTTTCAATTTTTTTAATTTTTCGAAAGAATTGAATATCTCCCGTTCTAATTAATATTTTTTTTTACTCTCGAGTAACTGTACTAATTATATAGTCAAATTTAATAAAATAATTATTTAGCCTAAATACTTCTTAGGACTCATATGCTTGGAAATATTAACATTAAATTCTTACAATTAAATTAAAATTTGAAACCTACGGGGATCAAAACCCAGTCACACTTATCTAGCCTAAGACCTATAACCGAAGACCCCTAACTCTACCGTACTAACTAAATAGGAAAAACAAACTACATCATCAACGGAACTAACTTATTTTATCTAAATGTTTTTTTATTTGTTTTTATTATCTACTTTATTTGCATTAAATAAATTATTATACTTAAAACATAAAATTAATTGTGCCAAATAATTTTTATTTATACCAAATATTCAATTAATTGGTTAAAATAAATAAATTCCTCCTTTTATATAAATTATTTATTTAAAATAATTTTTATTTATGTCAAATATCGAATTGACTGAGTGAAATAAATAATTTGTTTTAAAATAACTCATTATTTGTGTTAAATAAATTCATTTATTAGAGTCAAGTATTTATTTAATTAATCCAATTAAGATTTATTTGATTCAACTAAATAAAATTAATTAAACGAAATAAATTCTTATTAGATCGAAATAAAAACTTTTTAAATAAGATATTATTTTTCAAATAATTATAATTACTTGAATCATATAACTTTTTTTTAGTGTAGCTATAGTAAACTAAAAGCTATTAATGTGAACGAACATTATCTATATTAATAAAATCAGACTACTATCTGTACATTGCTCCAAACTTGAAAATTTTTATATATTTTTTCGTTTTGAGACATTATAATTCTAAAAATGTAAAAAAATTTCTGTCTGTCTGTCTGTATGCAAAACTTTGTTCGCGCATCAATTGAAAACGGTTTAACCAATTAAAGTGAAATTTGGCAGTCTATTAGGTATTAACTTAACTTACAATAATAGCCTTATCTGATTAAAAAATATTAACTTGAACGAAAGTTATGACATTTTTCCAAAAAGTTCGAAAAATCAGAAAAATGCAAATTTTTTGTCTTTTGTAAAATGAATGCAAAACAATCCTTAGCTAACTTTTTCAGATAAATACAACCCATTTCTACAATAAAATTTTTAAAAAAGACGTATTTTGAAATTTTTTTAGTTTCTTTAGATCAACTTTTTTCTAAGAAAATAGTGATTTTTAATCTTTAAGCAAGCTTTTCAGGAAAAGTTATTAAAGTTTTTTACTTAAAGATCAGTATGTAAAGTAAAAAATTTGCTACATTAAACAAAAATAATTAGCTAAATGCCATAAAAAAGAAGGAAAAATGTTGAATTTTAAGAAATTCGGTTTTTTGAATTTTTGATAATTTTCCATAATTTTAGATTTTTTACCGAAGGGTGGAGACTATTGAATGAGTAAAGTATTTTTGAAGAGCACAAAAATAATAAAGCTAAATGCCATAAAAAGAAGGAAAAATGTTGAATTTTAAGGAATTCAGTTTTTTGAATTTTTTGCTATTTTTCAATAATTTTAGATTTTTTACCAAAGGGTGGATATAACAAATTAGGTAAAGTATTTTTGAAGAGCCCAAAAATAATAAAGCTAAATGTCATAAAAGAGAAGAAGAAATGTTGAATTTTAAGAAATTCAGTTTTTCGAATTTTTACTAATTTTCCATAATTTTAGATTTTTTACCAAAGGGTGGAGATAACAAATTAGGTAAAGTATTTTTGAAGAGCCCAAAAATAATGAAGCCAAAAACCATAAAAGAGAAGAAAAAATGTTGAATTTTAAGAAATTCGGTTTTTTGAATTTTTGCTAATTTTCCATAATTTTAGATATTTTACCAAAGGGTGGGGACTATTAAATAAGTAAGGTATTTTTGAAGAGCAAAAAATAATTCATTAAAAATAATGAAGCTTAATGATATAAAAGAGAAGAAAAAAATGTTAAATTTTAAGAAATTCGGTTTCTCGAATTTTTGATAATTTTTTTTTTTTTTGCTAAAGGGTCCACCCTTTATAAACAAATAAAAGATGTTAGATTTAAATATTGAAAAATATACCCCTATTATTATTAGTATTATTATTATTATTTATTATTAATATAACCCCTATTCAAATAGTATAATTATACTACCGAAATAGCTAATGGTAACTAATTTTTAATTTTCCGGTGAAATTAAATTCCCGGCTATTTTTGATTTTCCAAATTGGTAGAAACATTGTTAAATGTATTGGAGGAAACTAAAACCCGTCGAAGACGGGTACGACAGCTAGTGCTATATATTTTCGAAATTTTTAAAATTCAAAATTAATGTTTTGAAATAATTATTGTCATCAATTTTACTTAAATTTGATACAGGGTTAATTTTAGTATTTTTTATTACAATTTAGTCATCAGAATGAAATTGAGTTTTTCATTTTTTGGTCATTAATTAATATAATATAATAGCAATTTTGAATTCTGTGCAATATACTGACAAAAGTCTCATATTAAGTATATGGATATTGTTAATATTCTGACCTAATAAAATTCTTTTAAGAGAGTAAACTTATGATTTCAACAACAAATTTTTATTGTTGACCTGAGAAATACAACCGTATAAAAATTAATTACAAAACAATTTCAATTTTTAAACTTTTAATTTTTTAATTTTTCAATATTTAAATCTAACACTTTTTATTTGTTATTCAAAATTTTATTATTCTGACGATTAAATCTTAATAAGAAACACTAAAATTAACCCTGTACCAAGTTTAAGTACAATTTACTAAAGTATATTAAAAAACTAAAAATTTCGAATTTTCGAATTTTTGAAAAAATGGCATAACTTTCGTCCATATTAATATTTTTTAATCTACTATCGCTAGGATTTTAAGTTAGGCTAATGCCTAAAAGACTGCCAAGTTTCACTTCAAACGATCGAACCGTTTTTCCGTGATACGCGGTCGAAAATTTGCGGACATACATACACACATACACACATACACACATACACACATATACACATACACACATAATTTTCTTAATAGTATTTTCGCATTCGTTAGAGTGTAAAAAGAAGGAATATAATAGAAATTTTGAATTTTATGCAATGTACAGACAAAAGTCTGATTTTATTAATAAGGATTAATTAAAAATTTTTAAAATGTAAATTCTTGTTTTCAGATACAACGATTGTCGAGGGAAATGGTCGAGAAAGATCTGGAATTCCTCGGATTCGTGATTTTTGATAATCGATTAAAGGAGCCGACAATTGGGGTTATAAAGAGTTTGAGAGACGCGAATATTCATGTGCTGATGATTACAGGTAAGAAAAATACTTATTTTTAGTATTTTTAAGTTTATGGGTTATTAAGGGGTTGTCTAATGCAAAACCTTCAAAAAAATTTCTATTTCTGAGAACATTCTTATGATATAAAATAATGATTTTATCACTCTGTCATCTTTAATTTATTATAAAATTAGCATAAGTTATTGAATTTTAGAATCTTAATTCCTACAGCCGAATAATGATTAAATATTTATTTGAAAAAGAAGTTAATGATGTTCTTCAGGGTTCAGGGAAAGAGTGAAAATTTTGTCTGGAAATCAGAGAAAAACAAAATTAAAGTTTTGTGGCAACCCTGTTCTGTTGCACAATATTTTGTATCGTTCATGATTCATAGCCCTACAACCCCTTTTTATTGCAAGTTAAATAATCTTCAGTAGTATAATAGTCAGTACCCCCTTTTCAGGATTTTCATTGGTGGTTAAATAATCTTCAGTAGTATAATAGTCAGTACCCCCTTTTCAAGATTTTCATTGGTGGTTAAATAATCTTCAGTAGTATAATAGTCAGTACCCCCTTTTCAGGATTCTCATTGGTAGTTACATAATCTTCAGTAGTATAATAGTCAGTATACCCTGTTCAGGTGACCTAATTTTTCAACGGTTATTGGAAAGGGAAAATAACAAAGTCAATGGAAAACGAAACTCAAAAATTGTTTATTCAGTGAAAAGACATTGTTCGCGATAGTACGAAGTACAAAGTTATGTAAAACAAAAAAAAAGTATTTTTATTTCTTGGAGAAAATTAAAATTTAGCGATAATACAATGTCGAATTCGAATTTTCGTTATTTTCGCAACAGTGCGAAAAAAGCACAACGGCGCTGAAGTAATTATTACTTTTACAGTAAACTGAAAAAAACGGGAGGTCAAAAAATATATATTTACTAAGTAAAAAAATATCTTCTTCTGATCTTAAATTAACGAAATTAAAGCCAGAAGATTTACACTTGGAATAAACTGGAAAAAACGCGAGGTAAAAAAATAAGTCAATAGCTTCTTCTGCGCCTAATTGACTGCTTTGTAAATTGAAAAAACTGAAAATGAATTATTTGCTTCATTCTCCGAGTCCGACAACAGATGTTCCATTTCTTCTATTTTATTCAACGGTTTCAATTCCATCGACTGATCTTCTAATTCCTGTGTCAATTTATTTCGTCGTTTAATCGCGGACTTAATCATTCTTTCACGACACTCATCGCAATTAATGTCTGGCATGTGTAGAGGATTCCGACACATTTCACAGCAATGCAAATTTGATACACGGGATAATCTCCTTTTATAGTGAGGCCAAGGGCACTCTTCAGTGGAGAATTCCAAGCTACCGCAAAGCTGACAAAAGCGACCGTTATAAGGTTTCTCGCACTCCTTAAAACTGTGATCCAACGCAGAGCAATTAAGACATCCCTCTATGGCAATAGGCATTAGACGTGGTTCACGTAATTCCGCTTGCGCACGAAATACCTCCTCCATTTTTGTCTTAAAAAGCTCCCTGATGCTCTTTGTTTCCTCCTGAGATGTGGACAATTTATTAGCTAGCTCTTCCCTCTCCTTGTTAAATCCACAAATTAATTCGAAATACTGCTTAATGTCTTTGGAATTAAAAGTTGTTGGAGCGACTCCAGCAGAAGCGAGTTCTTCGCTTAGAGTGTCTATGAGTCGATTAGCGGTGGCTAGTTTATTGGTAAGGTCCTTTACGTCAGAGAGAAGTTTTTCCAGATCGGCTCTATTAATTGCAGTCAAGTCAGAACGTTGTTCGGTTAATGTCAACTCACCATTGGTGGAAGAATTGGGATTAGTTCTTATGCGCAAAATTTTAATCTCGGGAAGATTAGTGATGGAGGTAGCTCGCGAGTTCATGGTGATAATTCTGAAAAAAAAATTTTAACGTTATTTACGATATTGGCTCTTTGTTTAAAGAAAAACTATACCCATAAACCTCTTACGCCTTCTATTTAAAATAGAAGAATTCTAAGGATTTTTTATTTACCGACCGATTTTTTGTATCAATAATTAAAAATAATACAGTTTTCTGGTTATTTTCTTAATTCCATAAAGTATGGAGCCGTCCATAAACTACTTTACCAATTTTTCATACTTTTTTTAGCCTTTCAACACTTGTTACCATTGCGTTACATGCAAATTTTGTAGATTTTGACCCCCTTCCCCCCCAAATTGGTAACGTAGTTTATAAATGGCCCCTAACACAGTTAATATTTTTAACAATTTTTTTTTAATTTTAAATGTGACTCGCTCCAAAAAAAGCAAGTACCTAAAAAGCAAACGAATTATAGGTTATGTTTGTGTTAAAAATTTAAGATTTAACTCGATTAAAAGTTTCTTTTTAATTAATTAAACTTAAAACCAATTTTTATTGAATGTTTTAGATGTAATGAAGATTTAAACATCAATAATTTCTAATAGTAATTGATTTTCTTTATGTATTTTTACTGCAAAAATTTTAAACATAACCTAACATTTTTTGCTTTTTAGGTACCTTTCTTGAGAGCGCGTTACATAGAATTGACAAATATTAATTGAAAGTGGTATTATTTTTTATAATTTATACCAAAAATCAACTCGATTCCTCTTACAGATCGGTAGAAAATAAATAATTTCGAAATTCATGCGAAAAAATGTTATTAACAATAACTATTTAAAAAATTTAAATTTCGCAGAACTGGTCAACTTATGTATTTTATATTTATCATAGAGTAGAAGTTAAAACTATAAAGAATACTTCACAGCTTTTGACACAATTTATTATTAATTTTTAATTAATTTAAAAATTAAGTGTCATAATTTCCTATTTTGAAAAAAAATTAAATTTTAAATTTATTTTAGTGAAAGTGTATGAAATATGTACATAATTTCAAACAATTTAAACAATTAAAAGTTGAATTTGAATAAAAATACAATTTTTTGTCATTAAGAAATATTTTTAATTTTAGGTTATGTTACCAAAATCTTTTCTTATTGACAGAAAAATTGTTATTTTTATTTAAATGAAACTTTTAATTGTTCAAAATATTAAAAATTACATTCTTTAGCTTCCACTAAATAGAATATTTAATATTTAATTTAACTTTTTCATGTAAAATACGAAATTATCGTATTCCATTAACATAATCTTAAATGTCGGACCAAACAATAAGCTCAAAAAACGTGGAATTTGATTTCATCTATATTTTAAACGATTTCTTGTATCAATAATTAAAAACAATAGTTCTCTAGTTATTTTCTTAATTCCTTAAAGTAACACAGTTAATATTTTTAACAATTTTTGTTTAATTTTATTATAATGACAAATATTAATCAAAAGTGGTACACGGAGAGAGAATATATATTAAATTTTGTAAAAATATTTTCAAATTGGGGAAAAAGTGCGACAAAGCAAAATTTTGATATAAAAAATACTAAACTTTAAAAAAACTTATGTGAAATTAAGTGTAATTATATCAAATATCAAAAATATTAATTAAATTCTAATATAACTTTAATAAATTTCACAAAACTTTTTTTAAAGTTTAGTATTTTCTATATCAAAATTTCGCTTTGTTGCACTTTTTCCCCAATTTGAAAATATTTTTACAAAATTTAATATATATTCTCTCTCCGTGTATTATTTCTTATTATTCATACCAAAAATCAACTCGATTCCTCTTATAGAACGGTGGAAAATAAATAATTTCGAAATTCATACGAAAAAATGTTATTAACAATGACAAGGTATTAAAAAAAATTAAAATTCCGCAAAACTGTTTAATTTGTATTTTTTCTTTATCATATATACACTGTAAAAAAAATTTTCTATAGATTTACAGTTTTGTTTAGAATTTTATAGAAACTTGTAAAATAACTTCTTTAAAAGTAGTGAATTTAAAATCCCTTCTGTAAAATTAATACTTTTAATGTGTCAATTTTACAATTTTCTGTAAATTTACTACTCTGAATGTAGGTAATATTTTTGTCTTTTTATTACCTACATTCAGAGTAGTAAATTCACAGAAAATTGTAAAATTGACACATTAAAAGTATTAATTTTACAGAAGGGATTTTAAAATCACTACTTTTAAAGAAGTTATTTTACAAGTTTTTATAAAACTCTAAACAAAACTGTAAATCTACAGAAATTTTTTTTTACAGTGTAGAGTAGAAAAATGTTAAAACAATAAAAAATACTTCACAGATGTTGACAATAATTTTGAATTTTAGGTTATGTTACCGAAATTTTTTCTTATTGACAAAATTGTAATTTTAATTCAAATACAAACCTTTAATTGTTTAAAATGTTGAAAATTAAATTCTTTAAGCTTCCACTAAATAGAAATTAAAATTTAATTTAACTTTTTCATAAATAAAATTCGAAAATTATCATTAACTTTTGTTCTGATTCTTTGTCGTCCGGATACTGCGTTAAATGGCGAAGGGCGGACCTAACAATGGAATTTGTTTCACGAATAGGGAATAAATTGAAAAGCTAGGTTAGCGTAAGGATGGAAAATTTTTACACAAGGTCGATAAAAAATTCGAAACGAAAAAACAAACTTACCAGTAGTATTCTAAATAATCTAAATGCGTCGAAATTGTCGAAGTGAAAAAGGAATCGCACAAAGTGTTATTTCTGTTCGTTGAATCGCGTTCGTTGTACAGCCAGTCGTTGTCTCCTTAACGTCAAATGTGTATTGTTTACCAGTGCGTTTCACGAGTAAAATTTATAAATGCAAAAGATACCAACACTTAACGATAAATTAAAGCACGTAGAATTCTTTTTCTTTTCTTATTTAACGCGAGAAGTTCTAAACTATTGCCAACAAGGAAGGCAAAGGGCAAAGGAAGGCGTCGCGAAATGAAGCGGAAGTCGGAAACTCGGAAGCGTCCTTTTACCGGAAATAGTCGAATATACGGATGTTCCGCCGCAGTCAATATGAATAGCGCGGGAAAGTTTGAAACATTAAGAGTACTTTTAACCAAAATCAAAAGTATAAAGTCAATATTATAATCAATTGTGTCAATCTTTACCATAGTAGAGAATAGGAAAAAAGGGGGAAATATTTTATAAAATTAATTTCCAGGTGACAATATTCAAACGGCGGTCAGTGTTGCTAAAGAATGCGGAATTGTCTCACACGATGAGACAGTAATTAATGTCACTGCAGTACCTGGCGATGAGAAATCACCACCAAAAATATTTTTCAACGCTCAATGGCTTCCGGTCAAACTTGTAAGTATTTTCTTTAAGGGAAGACCCCACCTTTATTTTGACCCCTTTAAAATAAAATTATTAAACGAGGTAATATTTTTTTTCTTTGCATCATTTCTAACCTGAAAACATATAAGATGGTCAAAAATATTTAATTTTAATTTTTGAAGAGGTTAGAATTTTTTTTCTTTTGACCTATTGCATATTATTGCAAATCCATGCGAGAAGTTGTTTAGAATGGTAAAATATGCATAGAAAAAAATTTTCGTTGAAAAATATTAAAAACTGTAAGAGTAGATCAATTTTTAATATTCAAATCTTTAACTTTTGCCGAAATTTCGAAAGCTTTAAATATTTAATTTTTTTCTGTTTATACTTACGTAATTTGATGCTATTATTCAAAAAAACATTGGTAAAATTGACATTTATCATAAAAATCATAGTTCGAAGCTTTTATGGTATACTTTATATATACCGAAATAAATAAAAAAAGCCATGATTTTTATAGTTTTTACCATGAAAATGAGCTAATTGTCAATTTTAACTATGTTTTTTCGACTCAGAGCATCAAATTGGAAAAAATTAAAGGTTCAGGACTTATTCCGACATTTCGGCAAAATTTAAAGATTTGAATATTAAAAATCGATCTTCTCTTACAGTTTTTAATATTTTTTAACGAAAATTTTTTTCTATGCCTATTTTACCATTCTAAATAACTTCTCGCATGGATTTGCAATAATATGCAATAGGTCAAAAGAATAAAAATTCTAACCTCTTCAAAAATTAAAATTAAATATTTTTGACCATCTTATATGTTTTTAGGTTAAAAATGATGCAAGAAAAAAAATATTACCTCGTTTAATAATATAATATATGTTGTCCTTCCGGTCTGACGAAATTTTGAAAAATCGTGTCATTTCTCTCAAAATGTTTTTAGTTCATGACATTAACGTACGCCACGAACTAAGAATATTTGATAGAAATGAGTCTTTTCAAAATTTCGACAAACCGGAAGGACATATGACTTAAGAAGTCGTGAAATATCTATTAAAATTTAGTTACTTCGTGACATATGACCGAACTTATACGCCACGAACTAACAACATTTTAATAGATGTGTCACGTCGTCAAACCGGAAGGAAAGCATCTAAGCATCAGGGTGTACTTTGAGAATAAAAAGTTTTATATCTATTGAAGAATAATAATGTTTAATTCTTTTACTTTAATTATCAATTAATATTATAGAGTCAAATGGAGGAGTCGATAAAGAAGGCGTTTGAGAGTGTCGAGAAAAAAGTGCAAATAGAGAAAAATTATAGATTTGCCTTGACTGGTCAAACATGGCAATTAATAAATGAATATTATCCGGAAATTTTGCCAAAAATTTGCGTTAGAGGCGCAGTATTTGCACGAATGACAAGTGATCAAAAACAACAATTAGTCGTTCAATTAATGCAACTTGGATATTATGCAGGTTTGTAATTTTATTTATTTATTCCATTTTGCTATTCTTTAAAATTTAAATGAAATATTGGAAATTATTTTTAACCCCTCCTCCTATTTTTTAAAAAGTAAAATAAAAATAAGTTGAAAATTTAAATATTGCGACTTTTGACTCCGTCAAACCGAAGGGACATCATTTATGCATTTGAGTGTACAACGAATTTTTTTGTTTCTAGTCATGTGTGGAGATGGCGCCAATGATTGTGGTGCGTTGAAAGCCGCACACGTAGGGATTTCCCTATCGGAAGCAGAATCAAGGTAAATTAAAGGCCTTTCTTCAATACTATTGTTAGTTAAATAAATCTTCAGTAATATAAAGGTACCGTCCCATGATGGCGTGAAAGCGTCGGCGTAAAGCGTAAACCATGTGAGTGAGTGAGAACCTGATATCTGTTCATCTCTTTCTATCGCACGATTTCTGCTTTACGCCGACGCTTTTACGCCGTCATGGGACGGTACCTTAATAGTGAGAATCCCCTTTTTAAGAAATTTTCCATTTATTTTCCAGTATTGCGAGTCCATTCACGTCACGAATACCAGACATCACATGCGTACCAACAGTGATACAACAAGGACGCGCCGCTCTAGTCACATCATTTGGAATTTTCAAATTTATGGTCACCTATTCACTCACTGAATTTCTCTCAGCAATTATTCTCTATTCAATTGATTCGAATGTCACTGATTTACAATTTCTCTTCATCGACATTTGTCTTATTGTGAATTTTGCCTTTTTCTTTGGTAAAACACAAGCGTTCGAGGGGAAATTATCAAAGAAAGCACCAATGACAAGTCTCTTAAGTTTTACCCCATTATTTTCATTGGCACTGCAAATGTTAATTAACATTTGCTTTCAAGTCGCTGCATTTCATGGTGTTAAACAATTTTCCTGGTATGTGCCTTTCAAAAATTCCGAGGCACTAAATTACGCATGCTGGGAGAATTACTCCGTATTTTGTGTCTCAATGTTTCAATATATAACAATGGCGATTATATTTTCACGTGGAAAACCATATCGTAAGGCGATTTATACAAATCGTTTGTTTACGCTCTCAATTTTATTTATGACAATTGTGAGTGTTTATATAACAATGTATCCTGCCGAATGGATTATAAATGCCTTGCAACTTATCTTGCCGCCTGATTATGATTGGAGGGCGATTATTCTAGTAATGGCTTTAATCAATTTTTTCCTCTGCTTCACTTTGGAGAAATTTCTTGTTGAATTTCTCATTGAGAAACGTCTGAAGAGGAAATTTCATCGAATCGAGAATTCAAGGAAAAGGTGAGTTTTACAATCTGCATTGTAAACACGGCCTAAGACTGTATTCAGGGCTCGAACTAGTGAAAGTATTTAAAAATACGGACTTTATGGACTTTCCAATATTCAATTTTACGAAATTTCAATTATTCGTAATTTCTTCAATTAAATAAATATTAGAAAATAAAAACTTAAAATTAATATTTAAAAAATTAAATTAAACTTTTTCAAAAAACATTAATTTCACAATTCAATTATTTTTAAAAATTCACGCTATATTGCTTTTAATATTCAATTATTATCTAAAATTTTAACTGAAATTCATTTTTAAATCAATTTTTATTGGAAAATTCTACGAGAATTAAATTATTTAAATACAATTAAAATGCAAATAAATATATTCAATAATTTCTTTAAAGGAATTTAATTAAAATTTACTGAAATTTATTATACTAAAAAATTTTATAACAATTTTTGAAAATAATTCTCTTTGAAGAATTTTATTAAAATTTTTAAAAATACTTGAATTTCTGAGAAGAATTAAATAATAATTTATGAAAATAATTGAATTCATGCGAAGAATTTTATTAAAATTTTGTTTAAATAATTGAAATTTTGACAAGAAGTTTATTACCATTTTTGACAATAATTTAATTCTTGAGAAGAATTTCGCTATTTATTTATAAAGATAATTTAATTCTTGACGAAAATTTGAAAAAAAATTTAAAAATAATTCAATTTCTGCAAAGTATTTTATTACTTTTCAAAAGAATTGAGTTTCTCAAAAAAACTTAATTCTACAGAATTGTTAGTTAAATATGAAAAATTCAAATTTTCAAAGATTTTAATCTGAAACCTTTTCAAAATTCAATTATTTCTAAAAATTTACGCTCTAATGCTTTTAAAATTCAATTATAATCTAAAATTTTAACTGAAATCCGTGTTTAAATCAATATTTATGAGAAAATTCTACTAGAATTCAATTATTTAAATACAAAAATAACAATTTATTGAATAATTGCATATTTCTTAAAATTGAATTCTCATAAAGAATTTTATCTATAAATTTTTAAATAACTCAATTCTTTTGACGAATTTTAATAAAATTTTCAAGAATTTTTTCGAGAAATTCGATTAAAATTGTATTAAAAATAATTGAAATTCTGCAATGAGTTTTATTATTTAGAAAAATAATTAAATTCATAAAAAGAATTTTATTATTTACGAAAATAATTGAATCCCCGTAAAAAGTTTATTATTTTTGAAAATAATTGAATTTCGGAGAAGAATTTAATTTAAATTTTTTTAAATAATTGAAATTTTGATGATAATTTTAAAAAAATTTTGATCATAATTGAATTTCTGCGAAGAATTTTATTACTTTTGAAAATAATTAAATTTCTGATATCATTTTTAATTTCTATAAAATTATCCAAATTATATCGTACATTTTACGAACTTTTCATCCTTTTTAAATCAAATTATGGACTTTACGGACTTTTACGGGATTTACCGACCTAATTCGAGCCATGCAATATTTTGTCCGGGAATCCCCGAACTTAATTTTTTCCTCATTTTTTTCAGATATTTGCAGATTGAAGAAAATCTACGTGAAAATGAAAAATGGCCAATATTGAGTAAAGAACTTCCAATTTTATCAATTAATCAATCAAACGGAGGGATTTCAACGGATGAGAAAACTTTGCTCACGGAAAAATCATCGAATTCAAATAATAAACAATACTCATCGATAAATGAAATTAATCAAGAGAAAAGTGGAATTGAAAATCTCGCCTTTTTCGTTGACGAGGTGACAAACTCTGAAAATATGATTACTAAATTTTAATTTTATCATATATATATGTGTATATGATTTTACTTATCTATTTAAAAATAATTGTAAATAGTATTTGAGAATATTTTTTTTTTAATAGATTTTAGAAAAAAAAAGTAGTTCCAAAGTAAAATTTTTCTGTTTATAAGAAAAAGAAAATAAAATACAAGAATTTTATACAATTACAAAGTAAATTAATTATTTAATTTCTAATAAATAAAGTATTAATGATAAATTTCATTATCGACGAAATAGAAAAGATTGCAAATCATTAGACGCGATGTGCGTTCGTCTTCTGTTCCATGAATTTCGATTCGTTTCGCATTTTCTGAAACAGAACAATTTTTTTTTCTTATAATAATTTTCCCTAAATTTGAATTTAAAAAAAAAATTTTCTTTAAATTTTTTAAATAAATTTAAAATTTATTTAAATTTTAAATTTAGAAAAATTCTTTAAATAATTAAAAATAATAATTATTTTTCAAAAATATTGAAATAATTTTTTAAAAAGAAAGAAGAAAGAAGAACTCACCGATAATTGCCTCGTGATGTTTAATTAAATCATTTTCAATTGATTTACGAAAACGAAGAACAATTGTGTTTATTGTTTGAATGCAATTCTCGTGAATTGTCTCCTTAAGTAAAAGTGCGGGAAGTGATTTGATGAATTTTTTAAATTCCTCCTCGCAATGCAATTCCTTTAAATTATGATCAATTGCAATTTCACTGAGTAATGCGAAAAATTGTGCGCTGATTTCTTTATTCGTTTGGCGCATTTGTAAATTTATCAATGACTTTAAAGTTTCATTCAAAAATACTCGATTTTGATACCAAATTTTACTCGCTTGTAAAAATAGTGTTCTTAAAGTTTTCAATAATTGCGGCACTGCCTGGGCGTCACGATTTGACCAGTTTTCCATTTTTTCTGCAAATAAAAAAAAATTAAAATGTTTATTTTATTCTTTAAAAAATATTTCTGTGCAATGAAATTTTAAAAAAAAGTCTATTCTCAATATTTTTAAAGAAAAAATTTATTTGGAACAATTCAATTATTTTTAAAAATTTTAATCAAACTCTTCGAAACAATTCAATTATTTTCAGAAATTTTATAAAATTCGTCGCAAGAATTGAATTATTTTTCATAAGTTATGAAATTCTTCGAAAAATTTCAATGATTTTCAGTAGAATTTTTAATGAAATTTCTTGATAGAATTCAATTATTTTTTAGAAATTTTAACAAAATTCATTGAAAGAATTCAATTCTTATAAAAAATTTTTGATACAATTCTAACAAGAAATTTATTAATTTCAGAATAATTTAAATTAAATTCCTAGAAAAAATTCAATTGTTTACAAAAATTTTGATACGATCCTCTATAAGAATTCAATTATTTTCAATGAAATTTTTTATTTTTCCAAAGAATTTTAATATCTTCGTAAAAATTCAATTATTTTCTAAAATTTTAGTAAGAGATTATTAGAGTTAATACTTTAAATAATTGAAAATTTTTAATAAAATTCGTTGAAAAAATTCAATTATTTTCAACAAATTTTAATCAAATTAAAAAATCTGTAATGAATTCAGTAAATTACAAAGTTTTAATAAAATTTGTTTATTAGAATTTAATTATTTTTAAACCATTTTTAATTAAACTACTTTAAAAAATTCTTTCAAGAAATTTTATTAAAATTTTTAAAAATAATTGAATTTGATCAACAGAATTGATTTTAAATGTTTTAAAAGTAATTGAATTTCTCCGAAGAATTTTATTATTTTTGAAAATAATTGGATTTTTATGATTAATTTTTGGAAATAATTTAATTGTTATAAGCAAATGTTACCAAAATTTGAGTAAAATAATTAATTTCTTTCAAAAAATTTTCTTAAAATATTTTTAAATAATTGATTTTGACCAAGAAATTTTCTTGGAAATTGTATTTTAAATAATTAAATTCCTGTGCAAAATTTTATTATTCTTATTCAATTTTTGCAATGAATTTTATTCATTTTCTTTTACTAATTGAATAATGTTTGCGAAGATTTTTATTAGAATTTTGGAAAAGAATTTTGATGAAGAAATTTTATTACAAAATTTTGAAAATAATTAAATGCCTTCAAGAAAATTTAGTTAAAATTATACTGAATTTAATTGAATTTTATCAAAAAATTTTATTTAAATCTTTTTAAATAATTGCATTCCTGTAAAGAAATTTTATTAAAATTGTATTGAAAATAATTGAATTTCTGAGAAAAATTTTATTATTAGAAATAATAATTTAATTCTTTTTAAGAATTTTATCAAAATTTTTAAAAATAATTTAATTTTCTTTTAACAATTTTGATAGGAAATTTTACAAAGAATTTATTTCGAATTTTTTGGATAATTAAAATTCAATACTTATAAAGAAGTTTATCCAAAATTTTTGAAAATAATTGAAATCTTGTGAAAAGCTTTATTATTAGAAAAAATAATTGAATTCTGGCAAAGGATTTTATTAATATTTTTGGAAATAATTTTTTTTTACTCATTTTATGAAAATTTAAAAGAATAATTCAATTAAATTTGTTGTAAAATTAATTGAATTCTTTCAAAGATTTTTATTAAAATTTTTAAAAATAATAGAATTCTACCAATAAATTTTAGTAAAATTATATTGAAAATAATTTAATTCCTGGGAAGAATTTTATTAACATATTAAAGTAATTGATTTTTTTCAAAGATTTTGAATAAAAACTTTTGTAAATAATTACATTTTTCGAGGAATTTATTTAAAATTGAATTTAAAAAAATGGAATTTCTGTGATGAATTTTTTACTGTTTATAAAAATAATTGAATTTTTGCTAAGAATTTTATTATTTTTGAAAATAATTGAATTTTTACTAAGAATTTTATTTTATTGAAGAATTTTATTAAAATTTTTGAAAATAATTTAATTGTTTTGCTTTCTAAAATAAGAAAAAATTTGATAATTAAAATGAATGAAAAATGAAAAAGACTCACCTTTTAAAAATTGTAGAATTTCACTACAAATTTCACGATCAATTGTACTGCGATTTTTCCTCTCCTTCACAGTCGTTAACCAAATATAAACACGACAAATTGCTAAATTTTGCTCCAAACAATTATCATCACCCGATGTAATTTTTCCATTAGTTGAAAATTCAATATCCCTCTGTCGTTTATGTCTTAAATTCATTTCACTATTATTATTGTTAATTTTTCCCTCAAACGGAAATCGTTGAATAAAATTTTTCACAAAATTCCCATAATATTTTCCCTTTATTTCCAAGCAAATCTCATTCTTTTTCTCCTCCGTTTCATAGAATTCAAGAATAATATCGACAAATATTTGAAAAATATCGAAAATATTTTTTAACAACAAACACGCCTCGTTTGTTATTGAAGAATCTTGATTTAAAATTTTTTCCCTCGGCGAAATTTCCAACCAACTGTCAAATAATAATGGCCACAGTGAATCAATATATTTGCCAAAATCAATGATATTTAATTCATCAATAATATTCCCTCGATTCTCGATATTAATTTCACTGATTTGTAAATTCATATTATAAATTGGCGCATAATTGATAAATTCCGTGGGACGTATTGTCTTGATATTTGTCGTTAAATCGAGTTTTTTCGCACGTAAATTTTGCAAAATTCCGTTGAGAATTTTTACGAGACTGGCGAGAACTTTTATTCGCCATTTACAACTTGTGTTACGTGAATTGAGATTTGTTATTAATTGCCTGCCGGGATGTGATTCAATATTGAGTTTCGATATCATTTCGAGGAAATTTGGAAGGATTTTTTGTGTTTTTTGAGAAATGGAGTGACCGCAATTTTGTATGAGAACATCGAGAAAGAGAAGTGAATCTTCTTTGATGTTTGAATTGATGTGTGTCATGCAACAATTGAGATAGGAGAGAAGAATATCGATGAAGGGTGCGAGTTGCTCATTGGAAACTGGACTGAGAATAATATTTAATACTTTGAGTGATTCGCGACGAATTGAACGTTCACGATCGAGTGTCAGGGCACAAATTCCCTGGAGTAGGGAATTTAAATGAACACGTAAAATTTCACTTGAATGAAGATTGAGAAGTTCTTTTAATTCACGAACTGCATCCTGACGAACTGTTGAATTGTAATGTTGCAGTCTCGACAAAAGATCCTGAAAAGAAAAAGAAAAATAAGATATTTTTATTCTTCACATGGAATTTTTTTTAATTTCATCAAAAATATCTCGAAATCATTTAGATTTCGAAACGTTGGAGTAAACTAATTTTTTAAAAACTATTTGTCCGAATGTTTTCGTTTTATTCTCCGTCACTTTAATCAAAAATATAAATATTTATTTCGAAATAATATATTCGACTTTTTATTTATTTGTATGAAAAATATTCAATACTAAATTATTTTTGTTGCAAAAAAACATTTAAATAAAATAAATACAATAAACAATAAATTCAGATTTATTATTTACTTATTCAGAGAATAAGTTTGGTTATTAAAATTGAATAATTATAAAGAATTTTATCAAAATTTTTAAAATAATAGATTTCTTTCTAAGAATTTTAATAAAACTATTGAAAATAAATTATATTTTTCAAGGAATTCGTTTAAAATTGATTTAAAAATAATTATAATTTTTTAAAAAATGTTATTATTATTAGAAAAAATAATTGAATTCTTACAAAGAATTTTATCAAATTTTTTGAAAATAATTTAATTCTTATTAGACATTTTATTAAAGTTTTAAAAAGTAATTGTATTTGATTCAGAAAATTCATTCACCAATTAAAAATTTTAAATAATTGAAATTCTCCGAAGAATTTTATTTTTTTTAAATAATTGAATTTTTGCGAAGATTTTTATTCTTTTTATAAATAATTGAATTCTTTTAAGAAATTTTATTAAAATGTTTAAAAATAATTAAATTAGTCAACAAAATTTATTAAAATTGCTTTGAAAAATAATTGAATTATTAATATGACGAATTTTATTAAAATTTTGGAAAGTAATTAAATTCTTTCGAAGAATGAAAAAAAATAATTGAATTTTTTTTTTATTATTTCGAATAATTTAATTTAATGTGTATTAAAAATAATTGAATTTTTTTAAACAATTGTATACAATTTTTTGAAAAAATAATTCAATTCTTGTGACGAATTTTATTAAAATTTTTGAACGTAATTCATTTCTATCGAAGAATTTTAATAAAACTACTGAAAATAATTAGTTTTCAAGGAATTCATTTAAAATTAATTTAAAAATTATTGAAATTCTATGAAAAATGTTATTATTAGAAGAAAATAATTGAATTCTTTCAAAAAATGTATTAAATATTATTTTTAAATTTTATTGAAAATTATAAATTATTTTTCTTAGTAATTCATTAAAAGTTTTCAAAATTAAATTTTGAAGAATAATTGCAAATTTTTGAGAAGTAATTAAATTCTCAAAAATTGTAATAAAAATTCTTGAAATAAAAATTTTTAATAAATCATTTCATTTTCGTATTTTTACGAACCTTGACATTCAATTTTCGTCGACTGAGAATTTCCGTTGAATCCTGTTGTTTTAATTGTTCTTGAATAACAATTTTTTTCGACTTAAAACTTGTGTCCGTAACATTTAGTCCCTTTGGCAATTGTTTCGATTTTTTACTCGTTTTTAATTTTATTTTTGCCCTTTCGGATTTCAAATTTTTCATGTGCCTGTGATTTTTTCCCATTTCTTCTTTTCAGTTTTTTTTCCTTCTAATTAAAATAAAACCGTTTTTTAATTAATTATTAATTAATTTATTTTTCATTTAATTCATTATTAGTTTATTTATTTATTACAAATTTTATTAGTTAAATAGTTAAATAGTTCATTAATCGCTTAATGAAACAAAATAAAATAAATTTATTAAATAATATTAAAATCATTAAATTATGGTTTAAATAATTTAATTAACTAAATTATTATTATTATCGCTATTGTCGAAATATAATATAAAAATATATTTATTAATTAATATTTACTATTTTTATACAAATTTACAATTTTAGAGGTTAGGAATATTGAGATAAATAAAATAATTTCTGTTTTATTCAAGTTTTTTAGTATTAAATGTAAAGATAATTAAAAATAATTATTTTTAAAAAATTAATAAATAAATATTAAAAAATTTATGAGAAATATTTTTAATAATTGAAATTTAACAATAAAGATTTTGCAAAATCGAGAAAAATTAAAAAATTACAATGTAAACAAAAACATTTGTTTGTACTTACTTTTCTACTGAAGAAAGAAATTGTTAAGAAGCGTTAAAACAATTCTAATTGACTGTAAATTATTGTTTAAGTTGATTTTTCTACTTTTAAAAATCAACAATTAATAACAAACGAAAAACAAAAACAGATTTTTTTGACGTGCATGACACGCATTGACACGTGATATTTTTGAGGTTATGTTTAGAATAACATAACCTTAAAAATATTTACTCTTTTGATATTTGATTAGTTTATGGGTGGTTTATGGATTTTATGCTTTAATGTAAATTACCTTCTGTAAAGATTTACAAAAAAAGTACTAAACTATTAATTTTTTTACCTATATTTTAACAAGTTTTAATGTTAAAAAACAATTTTTTTCTTCTTCAAATCGTTCAAATAATAACTTCGATTAATCGAATTTAGAATCGCTTCGCAGAATCGATTTTCAAATTGTCAATTTTGAAAAATAATCTTTCGTGTAATAATAACAATAATTATATGTACAATTTTTATTCGTAATTCACTGATTGAATTTTTATTATTAATTTAATTAAAAATTTATCTGCCAAAGAAACAAAGAATTTCAATTTTCCGCGCATTTCAAAACTATCGATTCTATCGAATTCGAATTCGATTCGGAAAAAACTTTTTTTAAACAAATTCCAATAATAATATATAGTATTTATTTATTATCTATTATTAAAATATTATAAGTGAGGGTATAATTTTAAAAATAAAATAAAAATATTATAATGATATTCAATTTTATGTTAAAAATTTCCAAATTACCAACACAATTGACAATTTTTGCAAATAATGTTAAGTCAGCTGATCGAAAAGTGACGTTTCAAAAATTAAATCATTTTTATCGCGGAGAAAAAAAATAACAATGTCTCAATTTCGAAAAAAATTCGCTCTTTATTTCTTCTGACAAATATAGAAATAATATTTAATTCCAAAAATTTTTCAAGTTAATTTTATACGCAATAAAAAGTGATTGAAAGGAAGTTTACACATGTTTTTAGGTTATGAAAGCCAAAAGTTAAAAATTAAATAAAATAAATTTTTCAGATAGAATTATCTTTATTGCTATATAATTATATATACGGTATTTCTATTGTGAATTTAATTCTTTGAATTGTGACTGTGCAAAATTACAGTGATTTAAAATAAAATAAAAAATTGAGTACAAAAGTTCGTGAATTTTGTTTCTCTTTTTTAAAAAAAAGTTAAGAATAGGAAATAATGAGAATTGCATAATTTAATTAAAAGAAACAATCAAGGTGAGTGAATTTATTTGATTTTTAATTTTTTTGACCTATTTTTCAATGACATTGGAAACGTTTATAATAAATTAAAAATTAAAAACGTATTTTCATAATATTTTGAGGTTATATTATTTCATTTTTTTTTTTTTTTTTTTTTTTTTTGCTTTTTTGGTATATTATTATTGTTATGAAAATTATTTATTTAATATTAAATTTATTTTTTAACTAATTAATTTATTAATTTATTGATTTATTTATTCATTTATCTAATAAAAGAAAAATTATTTATGTAATATTAAATTTGTTTATTAATTTACTTATTTTTTTCTAAATAAATCAAAGTTTTGAAATTTAATTTCGCTATTTAAAAAGAAAAATTATTTAATATTTATAATAAATAAAATAATCTTTTTTCTTTTTTTCAGAAATTTGGGAAAATCGAAAATTTTGCCAAAGAAAAGGAAGAGAGAGGAAGAAAGAAGAAGTTTTGATTTTTATTTTCGTTAATGATCTAAATTGTTATAATTAATTATAAAAATTATTGTATTTCTTTTCGAATTAATGAAAGAAATTTTGGAGTAAAAAGAAAAAAAAATTGCTTCTCTTTCGAATTTCGGAGTAAAAGAAGAAAAAAATTGATTTTTCTTTCGAATAAATAAGAAAGGAAAATCATGGCAACCGATGGAAATGGAACGACAATTAATTTCTGCAAAACATTTTGCCCACCAAATATTACGTTCTCGGAAATATGGATTAATCATGGAATGTCGAAATGTTTCGTTGACACTGTGACAGTGACAATAATTTCACTGTATATTTTAATTTTCGGCACAATTCAACTGCGAATGTATCGACTTTATGGTGGTAATATTAATCCAAATTCAATACCACGAAGTAAATTGTATATTTTGCAAAAAGTTTGCCTCTATTTAGTGCCAATACTCAGTGTCACGAGATTTATTTTACAAGCTACTGTTTTAGATGATAAAACCGTTTACGGCTATATGGTACGTTTATATTTCAAAAGAAAATTTCTTTAAATTCTATTGAAAATAATTGAATTCTTGCGACGAATTTTTATCAAAATATTTTTGAAAATAATTCAATTCTTTCGATGAATTTTAATAAAAACTTTTGAAAATAATATTTTATGAAGAATTCATTTAAAATTATATTCGAAAATAATTTTGAAATCCTCTGAAGAATTTTATTATTATTATTATTATAAATAATTGAATTCTAGCAAAAAAATTCTATTAAATTTTTTTAAATAATTTTATTATTAGAAAAAATAATTGAATTCTTGCGAAGGATTTTATTAAAAAAATTTGTGAAATTATTTACTTATTTATTTAATCATAAACATAAATTGTTTCAAAAAAGTATTTTATTAAAAATTTTTGAGGAATAATGTCTTTTTTTTGTTTACAGCTTTATAATACAATATTAACAGTGATTGCTTATCCGTATTCGGTTTATGTTTTACGTGTGGAACGTCACAAATTACTTCCAAGCGTTCCAACTGGCGGTCATGGTTTGGTACTTTTGGGATTTTGGACCCTGGCATTTTGCTTTGAAAATTTAGTCTTCATAAATATTGGCAAAATCGAATGGTGGTTTCACCTGAATACGTGAGTGTGAGCACTTTTTTCTTCAAAATAATTTTTTTGATTAATTATAATTAAATTATTTTTGTTTTCAAAGGCTCACGGATCAAATAGAAATGTCTCTCTTTGTGCTTCGCTATGTCAGTAGTCTTCTTATTTTTGCAATTGGTCTCCGAGCGCCAGGAATTTTTGGCAATGTTTGGAACTATGAAAATCTTGAGAACGAACAATATCGAGAAAGACAATACTATCAAGCGGTAAATTTATTTTTAAAATTATTTCATTCAAACTCGAATATACATTTTTTTTTATTCATTTACGAAAGTCTTTTCTATTTGAATTATTAAATTTAAATTACAGCGGTCTGATGACAATACATCGACATGGAGGAACGCGTGGTATAAAATGAAAACTCTCTCTCCATTTTTATGGCCGAAAAAGGATTTTTTACTTCAGCTTCGTGTCATTTTTTGCTTTGGTTTACTCGCTCTTGGACGATTAATAAATCTCTATGTTCCAATTTACAATAAAAAAATTGTCGACAGTGTTTCTATTACTCCACTTCAATTTAGGTAAGAAAAAAAAAGAATTTTTAAATGTTTTTAATCTAATCAATTTCATTAATAATTTTAATTAAAAATTTGATATAACAATTTATCAAAAAAAAAAAGAAAAATTTCATTAAAATTTTATTGAAAATGATTGAATTCCTCAGAAGATTTATTTGTAGTAATTTTTTTATCTGTTCAATTAGATGGGACCTGGTGTTGATCTACGTTGGCTTTAAATTTCTCCAGGGCGGCGGAACCGGTGGAATGGGTTTTTTAAACAATTTTCGTTCATTTCTCTGGATACGTGTTCAACAATACACGTCACGTGAGGTTGAAGTCGAACTTTTTCGGTAAGAAAGAAACAATATTTTTGAAATCTGTCAAATTTTGTCAGAAGAAAAACAAATAAAAAATTGAAAGAAATCATTAAAATTTTCTTTATTTCTAAATTTATTAAAATTATTAAACTTTTTTTTTGTTTCTAAATAAAAAGTTATTAAAATTTTCTTAATTTCTAAATTTATTAGAATTTAAAAATTTTCTAACTAATAAAGTCTTTTTTCAGACATTTGCATAATTTGAGTCTTCGATGGCATTTGGGACGCAAAACGGGCGAAGTTCTACGTGTCGTCGATCGTGGCAATGATTCAATAAACAATTTACTAAATTACATTCTCTTCTCAATAGTGCCGACGATCGTTGATATTTTAATTGCCGTTATATTTTTCATCAGCGTTTTCAATAAATGGTTCGGTCTCATTGTATTTTCCACAATGGTTCTCTATATCCGTGAGTATTTTATGCAACAAACAAAAGTTTTTTTTTTTTTTTTTAAAGAAAAAAAATTATTTAAGAATTTAAATTATTTAATTATTTAAGAAAATAGAAAATAACATGAAAATTTAAATTTAAAAAAGAGAAAAAGATTGCATTTATTTTATTCTAGTTTTATTTTATTTTTCCAGTGGCAACGATTTCCGTGACCGAATGGCGAACGAAATATCAAAGGCGAATGAATTTGGCGGACAATGCAATGAAAACGCGAAGTGTCGACAGTCTATTGAATTTTGAAACAGTGAAATATTATGGAGCGGAAAACTACGAAGTAATGTCCTACAGAGACGCGATAGTTAATTTTCAAATTGAAGAATGGAAGTCAATGTTCACGCTGAATATTTTGAATACAATGCAAAATGTTATTATTTGCAGTGGTTTGCTCGCCGGTTCGCTTCTTTGCCTCCACATGGTTCGTATTTGAAAAAAATATTATTTATACATTTAAAAAGCAAATTCAGGGTTGCCACGCAACCTGGAAACCTGGAAAACCTGGAAATGTCAGGGAATTTTGATCGAAATCCTGGATAATTGTTATTTTCTAAAGTTTATTCTTGAAATATAATTTTACATAAATATTTCAAAATTAATTAAATTTTAAAAAAGTTGCGTTTACAATTTTCATAAGTACAGATGAATTTCAAAAGATTTTAATTTGAAATTTTGTAAAATTTCAATTCTCAATGAATTTAACTAGAAATCGTTTTAAAAAACGTAAATTTTTGAGAAATTTTAATTATTCCAATTCTTCTAAAATTAGTTAAATTTTTTAATATATATTTTTAATTGATTATTAAAAATAATGGATTTATAGAAGAATTTTCATTAAAAACACTAAAAGAAATTGAATTTTAAAGCAATTACAAATGATTGCAGAAATTCAATTATTTTCCAAATTAGTAAAATTCTTTTTAGAAATTCAAATATTTTCAAAAATTTTAATAAAATTCATGGCAAAATTCCAATTATTTTCAAAAACTTTTCTCAATTCAATGATTTTTAATAAATCTACTACTTTAATAAAATTTTTCAAAAGAATTCAATTATATAAAAAAAGTTTTTAAATTCTACGCAAACATTTCATTATTTTCATAAATAATAAAAACTCAACTCAGACTTTCAATTATTTTTAATACAATTTTAATGAAATTTCTCGAAAAATGAAATTATTCTTAAAAATTTTATTCAAATTCATCAAAGAAATTCAATTATTTAAAAAGACATTTTAATAAAATTCGTCTCAATAAGAATTCAATTATTTTCAAAAACTCTTATAAAAAAAAGTTTCAAAAACTCTTTTCTCTTTGGAGAAATTCAATTACTTTTAATAAAATTTGAATCAAATTTCCGAAAAATAAATTTATTCATAAAAATTTTAATAAAATTTGTAAAGAGAATTCAATTATTTAAAAATTTGTTGATTCTTTATAAAAATTCAATTTTAAGAAACATTCATTTATTTTCATAAATAATAAAATTCATCTCAGGATTATTTGCAAAAGTTTTATTTAAAATCTTGGTAAATTTCAGTTATTTTAAAAAAGTTTAATAAAATTCTCAAAATTTCAATTATTTTTATAAATAATAGAATTTTTCTTCGAAATTCAAATATTTTTAAATACTTTAATAAAATTCTTGGCAGAATTTTAATTATTTTTGAAATATATTTCTTCGCAAAAATTCAATTATGTTCAAAAATTTTTAAAAATTCTCTTAAAAATTTCAATTATCTTTATATTAATAATCAAAATCTTCGAAATTCAATTATTTTTAAAAGTTTTAATAAAATTCTTGGCAAAATTTCAATTATTTTCAAAAATTTTAATAATTTTAATAACTTTAATAAAATTCTTGGCAAAATTACAATTATTTTCAAAAACTGTTATAAAAAAAAAGTTTCAAAAACTCTTTCCTCTTTGGAGAAATTCAATTATTTTTAATCAAATTTTAATCAAATTTCCGAAAAATAAACTTATTCTTAAAAATTTTCATAAAATTTGTAAAGAGAATTCAATTATTTAAAAATTTGTTGATGAAAGTCTTTATAAAAATTCAATTTTAAGAAACATTTGATTATTTAATAAAATATTAATTTTTGTATTTAAATAATTGAACTCTCGTGGATTTTTCTAGTAAATAATTATTTAAAAATGAATTTCAGTTAAAATTTTAGATTATTAATTGAATATTGAAAGCAATATAGCGTAAATTTTTAGAAATAATTGAATTTTAAAAATGTTTCAAATTAAAATCTTTTAGAAAATTAGAACTTTTCATACTTTGAATTAACAATTCTGTAGGATTTATTTTTTAAAAAAGTTTAATTGAATTTTTCTTTAATTCTTGAAGTTTTTATTTTCTAATATATATTTAATTGAAGAATGTCAGAATAATTAAAATTACGTAAAATTTAATATTGAAAATAATTGAATATATTTACGAAGAATTTTATCATTTTTGAAAATAATTGAATTCTTGCGAAAAATTTTATCAATTTTGAAAATAATTGAATTCTTGCGAAGAATTTGGTCTATTTTAAAAATAATTAAATTATTTTGCAGAATTTTATTCAAATTTTTTTGAGAATAATTGAATTCCTGCGAATAATTTTATTATCTTTAAAAATAATTAAATTCTTGACAAGATTTTTAAGGAAATTTAGAATTAATTTTTCTCAAAAAGTTTTATGCGGAATTTTTTTTTAATTATTTAAAGTTTTTAATTTCTAATTTATTTAATTAAAGAATGTCCAGAATAATCGAAAGTTTAGGTAAAATTGAATTGTAAACAAATATATTTAAATATTCTCAAAGTAGAACTTTTTCAAAAATTATTTAAAAAAAGTTGTTTTAAAAAAGAATTTTCGTTTAAAATTCTAGAAATAAAGAATTGAATTGAAATGAAAAAATTTTTGAAGAAATTACTGTAACAATATTTTTATAAATATAAAATAATGATAGTATCAAGTTTTAATTATTATAAAGCATGAAGAAAGCTATCGATATCTTCTTGTTTTATAATAATATTCTTATATGTAATTGAGTTTAAAATTTTTGAAAATTTTAATTTCTGTAAAAAAATAATAATGATTAAATATTCATTTAAAAACGAAGTTATTGATGTTTTTGAGTAATTTTACAATTAAAGAAATTCGTAAATAAATGTGATTGAACAGGAAATAAGTCGTCTTGTCTGGAAATCAGGGAGTTTGGTAAAATTAAGAATAAAATTAAAAATTAAATTAAAAATACATAGAGTTTTGTAAAATATAAATGTAGTTTTAAAAACCTGAAAAATTTACGTTTTTTAACCTGGAAAACCTGAAAAAGTCAGGGAATTTGAAATGAGGAAAAGCATGGCAACCCTGGCAAATATTTAGTTTCTTTCAATTTTAAAATTTTATATTGAAAAGAAGTTCTTTCTTTTTTCAAAAAAATTTGTTGTATACACTTTTTTATTCTAAATATTTTAAAGGTCGTTTCTGGAGAAGGATTTACGATTGGTGACTATGTTTTATTTGCCAGTTACATAATTCAACTTTACGTTCCTCTCAATTGGTTTGGAACTTATTACAGGTAAACTATTTTTTTATGTCTTTATTATTTTTCGTAAAGAGAGAATAAAATTGAATAAATAAAGAAAAAATTATTTACTACCTTTTTGTAATAATATTATTACTACAAAATTTTTGGACAAAAATTATTAAATTATTAATTATTATTAATTAATTATTATTACAAAATTATTAAATAATGAAAATGTTTATATTATTGTTTGTAAAGAAAAGTTTCTTTTTTTTTGCAGAATGATACAGAAGAATTTTGTCGATATGGAGAATATGTTTGAATTATTGCGCGAGGAAGAGGAAGTAATTGATGCACCAGGTGCTGGTCCATTAATTGTGAAACGGGGTGAAGTTGAATTTTCCAATGTCACATTTGGTTATAATGCAGAAAGAATTGTCCTGCGTAATATTAGCTTTAACGCACCGTCGGGAAAGACAGTTGCATTTGTCGGTCCATCGGGCGCTGGAAAGTCGACAATAATGAGATTATTATTCCGTTTCTACGATATTGAACAGGGTTCAATTTCAATTGACGGTCAGGATTTAAAGACTGTTAAACAGGATTCATTGCGATCCGCTATCGGTGAGTTATTAAAATAATAATTTTATTTAAAAAAAAAATTAATTCTTGTGGAGAATTTAATTTAATTTTAATCTTCATTTATTTTGCATTCTGTTTATTATAATTTTTTTTCAATTGTTTATTTTTAATTTCTTTCTATAAAATTATTTCTATTTAATTTTTTAATTGTTAGTCTGTTTTTTTTGTCTTTTTCTTTTTGGATAAAAATATGATTTACAATTTTTGTTTTTTATTTTTAGGTGTCGTGCCTCAGGATACTGTACTTTTTAATAATACAATTAAATATAATATTCAATACGGAAGAATTGATGCGCCGGATGTCGATATAATTGCAGCAGCAAAATATGCGGATATTCACGAAAGAATTTCATCATTTCCCGAAGGATACGAAACTCAGGTTTGTTTAAAAATTTCACTAGAATTATTTTTAACTTACAGAGAAAAGAATCTTTTTTGTTAAAAACCAAAAAAATGAAATTTTTACGTTAAAGAGGCAAAAAGATATTTTATTAAGTATTTTTAGCATTTATTTGACGAAAATAGAATTTTGGTAAAACTAATAATAAAAAATGGAAATAATTAAAAAAAAAAATAAATTTTTCTCTTGAAACTAAAAAAAATACTGAAATTTCAGGTTGGCGAGAGGGGTTTGCGTTTAAGTGGCGGTGAAAAGCAGAGAGTTGCAATTGCAAGGACAATATTGAAGGCGCCGAAAATTGTTCTCCTCGATGAGGCGACAAGCGCATTGGATACGGAGACCGAGAGAAATATACAATCGGCATTGAATCAAGTTTGCGCGAATCGTACGACAATTATTGTTGCACATCGTTTATCGACAATAATTCATGCCGATGAAATTCTTGTTCTAAAAGAGGGTGAAATTGTTGAACGCGGTCGGCACGAGGAACTCATTAAATTTAATGGCGTCTATCAAAAAATGTGGGAGTCGCAATTAAAGAACAATCAAGACGATGCTTCGTCATCGAAAATTAATCACGACAATGATGATGATAATGATGAACAAAAAATGATTAAAGATAAATAATTTTTTTCTTTACTTGGAGAAGGGGGCAAAAAAAGTGAAGAAGAAGGAGGAGAAGGATTTTTTTTTCTAACAGAAAAAAGAATTTAGAGCGTAAAAAACGAATTCTTTCCCCCACTTATAATTGTGATTCAAAAAAAAAAGAAAAAACAAAACAAAATTAATAGAAAATGGACTGAAAAATTGTTAAAATTTTATAAATTTTCTTTATCTGACTAAATTTATTTTTTTTTGTTTTTTAAATTAATTGCATAAACGAATTGTAATTTATTCTCCAGTAATTTAACTAAAAAAATTTTCTTTTTTGTTGGAACAATATTTTCTTTTAATTTTTAATAAATTTAAAAAACTAGTTTTCGAAAATTAAAAAAAGAAAACATAAAAATTAAAAAATTAAGTTTTAAGGAAATTAAACAAACATAAAAATTAAAAGATTAAGTTTTAGAGAAATCAAAGAAAACAAAAATTAAAAAATTAAGTTTTAGAGAAATTAAAAAAAAACAGAAAAATAAAAAAGTAAATTAAAAAAATATTAGAAAGACAATAAATAAAGAAAAAAAATTGATAATAATATTTAGAGGCCTTTTACGGTTTTAAAATAAAATTAATAAAATAAAAGAAAAATATTGTTTTGTATTAGAAGAATTTTTTTATATTATAAAAAGAATTTTTTTTTTGAATTACTAGAAATTAATAACAATTCGAGGCAATTGAATTTTAGTCAAATAATTAATTAGGAAGAAAAATTTACCGTATTTATTAATAATTAGAGTATTATTTACTTTTGTTGTCGAAAATTACTGCAATAATTAACTGATGATTAATTAATGGTAATTAACTACTAAAGTTTATTATTAATTACAGTAAATTCATTATTACAGTGTATTAATTAAAGTAAATTAATTATCAAAAGTTTATAAAATACTAGAATTTAATTACAAAAGTCTATTAATTACAAGAAATTAATTTCCAAATTATTAATCAATTCAAATTATTATTTAAAATATTAGTTAAATTATTAAATTGACTTATATTAATTAATTAAAATATGAATTAAATTCTTAATTATCAATTAAAATACCAATGAAATTCTTAATTATTAATTAAAATACCAATTGAATGATTAATTATTAATTAAAATACCAATTAAATTATTAATTATTATTTATTAATTAAAATATCAATAAAATTATTAATTATTAATTATTATTTAAAATATTAACTCAATTATTAATCATTAATTACTAAAATCGACTAATTAGAAAAAATTATATCTGAATTGTTATAAATCAAAATTATTAACTGAATTTTGAAAATTAATAAGATAAATTATTAATTTAAGTAATCTATGAATTGAATTAATTAATCTATGAAATTAATTAATTATTCTATTAATTGAATGAATTAAATAATAATTAAGTTTTGTAATTAAAGTATTAATCATTAATTCCAAAAGTATTCATTTCTGTCTCAATTCCAAAGTACAGCTTAACTAGAAATGAACTAAAGTATTAATTACCGTTAATTAATTGCGACGAATTATTAATTATTAATTATTAATTACTTAATTACTGAATAATTATCAAATTATTAATTTAGTAATTAATAATTAATAAAATTAAATTGTTTTAATTACTAGAAATTTATTTTTAATAAAAATATCGATTGAAAGTCATTTGTTACTAAAGAAATTGTAATGAAAGAGAATTGTGAGAAATTTTTTAATTAAATAGATTGTAAGTGATGAAAATTACTTAAAATTGCGTTTGTAATTAAATTGTAATAATAGTTGCGATTAATATTTATTAGGTATATTATAAAAATAAAATTAAAACTATAGAGTTTTAATATAAGAAAATATATATAAAAAAACGGAGAAAAGACTTTTTTTTAATAAAAGTCGAAAAAAACATTTTTTATAATGGGATAAAATAGTTGTGTGGATTTAGAAATTGTTGCTTTTTTATCCATATAGCATAAATTATGTTTTAATTAGTATATATATTGTAATATAACGATATTGTTGAACTGCGAAATAATTTTTTTTTTCTAAATTTATATCTTTTATTCGTTCGGGTGTAAATATTGATAATAAAAAAAAATATTTGATAATTTATTCTATTTTACGAAATGAAAATTTTCTTTCATTAAAATTATTTTGTTTTTTAAGACAAAATTATCTCCTGCGAATTTTTTTCATTATCTTTATGTTTTTTCCGAAGGAAATCAATTATATAAAATATTTTCAAATAATGCTTTGAAAGAAATGAATTATTTTCTATAATTTTGATAACATTTGCTGATAAGAATTAAATTATTTTCATAAATAGTAAAATTCATCGTAAGAATTCAATTATTCGAAGAACGTTACAAATAAATAATTTATAAACTTTTTTTTGTCTCAGCTTGCAAAAAAAGGATTCATTGGGAATTTTGTTAAAAAATTTTATTCGCCCTCTTCGTCACCGCCAACGAGTAATTTTGCAAAAGCTCCGTCGGGCACCCATCCGGACTCATCGATTGGATCAGTAACTGAACTCGTGCCTCCTTCCGTTATATAAATATAGGAAACCGTCAACCATCCCATATAAATGGATAACTGAAATAATGGAATTATTTTTTTCCTTCATCGTCAATTAAAGGTAAATTAGTAAATTACAATACAATACATATAATTGAATAATTTATAAATAATGAATTAAACAAGAAAAAAATTAACTAATTGTTAAATTAAAATTTTATATTTATTATAATTAATTGTTAAATTGTTAAATTAAAATTTTATATTTATTATTATTAATTGTTAAATTGTTAAATAAATATTTAATTTTAATTTTATTTTTTATTTCTCAAAAAAATAATTTTTCTTCAAAATTAATTAATTCTTAAAAATTAGTTTATTATAATTATACAAATAAAAAAATACCAATATTAATCAGTTATTATATTTACACATTAAATTTTTATATATTTAACTTTTTTTATATTTGATGCAAAAATTATTTTTATTAAGAAGATAAATAAGTTTATTAATTATTATTATTATTAATACTGTTGGTTATTAAGAATGAAAAAACCTATAAAACAAAAAATTTTGTTATAATAATTTTATTCACGCATAATAATTCAGAATTTAAAACATTTATTTTATTTACAAATTTTATACCTTTAAAAGAATTCTGGTCATATCTTCATCCATAATAATTGTTTATAATTTGAAAAATCCTAGAAATTTAATTTAATTGAAAAACAATAATTTGATTTTCTTTTTGGTAAATAATAATAAAAAAAAAAATAATAATAACGTCCAAAATTTTAAGAAATTTAAATTAATTAAATTGACAGACACGTTGTACACATAAAAATTTTCTTTTTTGTTTTTCTACTTTCAAAACAAAAATTTATTCTTATAATGAAAAACAAAAAAACAATATTTTGCGATAATTCATATTTTTTAAATTGCAAATAATAGATGATAATAATAATAATAATAATAATAATAATAATAATAATAATAATAATAATAATAATAATAATAATAATAATAATAATAATAGTCACGTTATTTTTTAAATAAATATATGAATAAAATAAAAATAATAAAATTATAATAATAAATAAATAATAATAAAATAATATTAAAATAAAAATTAACATAATATATATTTTATATTTATATTATAATTTTATTCATATTTTAATAAAAATGAGTAATAAAAATAAATTTTAAAAAAACATTTCTCTAATAAATATTTTAAATTCAAAAATTTTCTTTTTGAAAATTCCAATAAATGTCAATTACTGACATCTATTATTTACTATTTTGAAATATAATTTCATCTATACATTATAACTAAGTTCAAAATAACTTTCCTTTCTTATTTACTGTTTATTTTAATGAGACTTGTTATTATTATTATTAAAAGGCGAATTGCTTAGAAAAGGATTTTCAATTATTAATTATTTTTATTTTTTTTTACTGTGTGTGTGTGCCCAACGTGAAATAAAAATAAAAAAATTTCAACTGGATTGATATTTTTTTTAAACAATTTTAATTATATAAACAAATGGATTTTATTAAAATTTTAGGTACGTACAAAAAAAATATTTTTTCTAATTTTTGAAAATATAATTTTTATTTTATCATAATTACGATTTTACACTATAAAATAAAAAATAAGATTCATTACTATATTTTTACTTCAAAACTGTTCAAAACTCAAAGTTACAATTAAGAAGATGAAATTTTTTTTAATATATTCTTGAAATTCGATCCAAAAAAGGAAAAATAAAAGAATTATTTTTACAATAAATATTATTACAGTTATTACAGTCATTACTATTTTTTATTGTTTTTTCATATTTATTAATTATTACATTTAGAATTTTTATTATTTTATAATTTACTTATTATTATTATTATTACTATTTATACCTATAATTCTTTTTTTTTACTATTATTAAAAGCAATTAAAAAGAAATCTGATCGAATTTGGCCAATTTTTTATAAAAAAAAAACATCCGCCATATTGGATCGGCCATTTTGAATTTTTTAAAACTGACATTATATTTATAATCAGTGATGCCAAAAACCCCTGAGTTACAATTTTCATTCAAATCCAAGCAATTTTTGAAAATCTCGTCCGTCATATTGAATCCGCCATTTTGAATTTTTAAAATCCAACATCAGATTCGTAATCAGCGATCCCAAAAACCCCTGAGTTACAATTTTCAATCAAATTCAGCAAATTTTTGAAAAGAACATCCGCCATTTTGAATTTTTGAAATCTGACATTATATTTGTAATCAGTGACCCCAAAAATCCCTGAGTTATAATTTTCAATTAAATTTTAGCAAATTTTTGAAAAGAACATCCGCCATATTGGATCGGCCATTTTGAATTTTTAAAAACTGATATCAAATTTGTAATCAGCGATCTAAGAAACCCCTTGAGTGGGGGTTCTATACGTATTGAATGTCCAAGTGTTAGCAATAAATAAATTATATTTGGTATTTATTATTTATTAATTATAATTAATTTCTCCTTTTTATTTATAAACTCATTTTATTTCCGTTATTTTATAAAAACTAAACAATACTAAATTGTTAGCAAGAAAAAAAATCTATAAACTAGAGAAGAATCGAACCCGCTTCTACGATTTAGAAATACAGTCAACTAACCCACTCGACCACTGCAGTTTTGCAAAAAAAAATTTATTTACTCTGAATTTGATACTAAAACGAATCTAAAAATTGTTTATATTCTTCTAATTTTTTGCCTCTATAAACAAAAAACTAATTTTAAAATAAAATTTTATTAATATGTTTCAGAATTGACATAAATATTAAACTGAAATAAACAAAGGATCAAAGAAAATTGACAAAGCAAAAATGTCCTTCATGTACAGTCGACTAAAACAATTAGTCATAACTGGTCAAGTGAATGAAGTCAAAAAAATTTTAACACTCAATCCAAATTATGTAATCGACATAAATCTTCTCTACTTATCCATAAAATATAATCAACAAGAAATTCTCCAATTATTCTTGTTTCGAACATTTCCATCAATAATTCCTCATGAATTCAATAATAATAATAATAATAATAATAAAGAAAATTGCAATTTTGTACAAGAAAAAAATTACGACTTCAAACGCCACTTGTTATCAAGCATAGAATCAAAAATACATCAACAAAAACAATCATTGAATCTAATGGAAATTGCTTGTGAGATAGTTGATAAATTTCTCACCGTTGTGCTAATTAGAAAAACAAATAATAAATTAAAAAAAATAAATTCACAATTGGAGAATGTCACAAGATTTTTTATCAAAAATAAAGAGAGATATTTGTGGAGAATAGAACATTTATTGCATTGTAAACACAACCTTAATGCATGGGACGCTCAAGGTTGGACGCCATTATGTAAAAGTATTCAACTCTTTGGCCATTATTTAGTTGATATTCTTCTTGATAATGGAGCAAATGTTAATATTCCAACAGTGAGACATCAAACGGCTCTTCATTTTGCCTCAAGCTATTACAATAATTCCGAGGCATTTCATCGTATTTTAAAATTAACAATTCACAATTATTATTCAATTGATGTCACCGGCTGTATTCCCCTCTTTTACGCTGTGATGAAGCAAAATTCACTAACCACCGAAATTCTATTGGACAAATTTCCCGACAATAAAAACGATTCACATCACAAAATGGCGTTTTGTCTCGCAATTCTCAACACTGAAACAAGAGGAAGAAATAAAAAAATTGTCAAACATTTTATAAAACGTGGCTACACACTCTTTCATCGTGATTTCTTTAATCTCAATATTCCACAATCGTGGATTAATCATTTACGAAATATTAGCGAGGATCCTGAATACGATTATTTACATTTCTTTCTCAATAGAGAATTATCATTGGAGGCTTTATTTGAATTTTTGGTATTGAAAGCAATTATCGAGCATGGTTATACGAAAATTTTTCATGATATGATCGAGGATATTGATGCGATTGAATTGGAATTTCCGAGGAATGGAAGTCTACTTCATTTGGCGAGTAAATATGGTCGAGTCACTATTGCTAAGGACCTCTTGAGACGCGGTGCGTTGGAAGATGTTGTTAATGATGATAAAATGACTCCATTACATTTTGCCGTGATGAATAATCATTGGAAGATTGTTAAGATACTGATGAGGCAGAAGGTGAATTTAACGGAACCGAATATTTATGGGGAACGACCATTGTTTATTGCTTGTAAATCGTCAGCGATGATGTGCTTGAAGATTCTTCTTAATGCCGGATGTAATGTCAATTGTCCGGATTCGTTGGAAAGGTGAGAAGTGAAAATTTATTTTTTCTTTAGTGCTAAAAACTTCTAAAAACATCTAAAGACTCCTAAAGACTCCTAAAAACCTCTAAAAACTCCTATAACCTTCTAAACCCATCTAAAGGCTTCTAAAGCCTCCTAAAAACCTCTAAAGACTCCTAAAACCATCTAAAGGCTCCTAAACCTCCTAAAAACTTCTAAAGACTCCTAAAAATCACCTTAAGACTTCTAAAGATTTCGAAAAATATTAAAGAATTCAAAATGTTTCTATAAAGACTTCTAAACACTTTTAAAGACTGGTAGAAACTAGAAAAGATTACTAACAAAGCTAGACTTACCAGAGGATTACTAAAGAACCCCTAAAGATTCCAAAAGACTGCTAATGACTCCTAAAAACTTCTAATGAATCCCAAATACCCCTCAAGGCTCACTAAAGGTTCCCAAGTACACCTCGAAACTTCTAAAGACTTCCACAGACATTCTAAAGTCTCCTAAAGCCTTTTAAACACTATTTAGATTTCTAAAGACTACAAGAATCTGAAATATATCTAGAGGCGCCTGAGGAAGTCTACTTAGGCTACTAGACCACTGCTACTATATAACTACTAATATTTAGACTACTTAGGATCATTAAGACTCCAAAGGACTGCTAATGACTCCTAAAGACATCTACAGACTTCTAAAGACTCCTAAAGACTCCCAAATACAACTAGAGATTACTAAAGACTACTATGGACTCATTAAGACTTCTGAGGACACCTAAAAACTTCTAAGAACCTCTAAAATTTCCTAAACTCAACTAATGACTTCAAAAGTCTCCTTAACACTCCTAATTACACCTAAAGGTACCTTAAAACAACTAAAGACTCCATAAGACTTCTAAAAACTCCTAAACACTACTATAGAGTCTCCTTAAGACTACTAAAGTTCCAAATACTCCTAAAGATTCTTAAAGACTTAAAAAGACTCTTAAAGACTTGTACAACCTTCTAAGGACCTGTAAAGTCTCCTAAACTCACCTAAAGAATAACGTTCTCTGAAAACAGTTAAAGACACTTTAAAACTTCTAAATACTCCCAAAGACTCTCCTTACTACTTCTAAGTTCTGCAATTAATTTCTAAAAACTTCTAAAGAATTTTAAGCACTTCTAAATACCTCTGAAGAATCTTAAAGACTCAAAAAGACTTCTAAAGACTCGTAAACACTACTTAAACACTACGTTAACACTCATCATGACCCCAAATGTTCTTAAAGATTCTTAAATACCTATAAGGACTCCTAAGACTGCTAAAGTCTTCTAAGAACTTCTAAAGACTCCCAAACCCACCTACAAACCCCTAAATACTTCTAAATACTCTCCTAACGACTCTTAAGTACAGCAAATGACTCCTAAAGAGTTCTAAACACTTTTAAAGATATCCAAACACTCCATAATACCCCTAAAAACCTCTAAAATATTCTAAAGACTCCTAGACACCACTGAAAATTCTTCTTACGGCTCCTAATAACTTCATAGGTTGCTAAATACTTTTAAAGACTTCCGAATAGCTCTGAAGAATCCTAAAAGCTAAAAACAACTACTAAATACTTCAAGGCTTATTTAAACTCTCCGTAAGAATCCTAAAGCTACTTAAAGACTTCTTAATGACTACAAAAGACTTCTACAGTCTTCTAAGAACCTCCAAAGATCCTCAAACTCACCTAAAGGCTAAAGAATCTTTAAAACAGCTAAAGATCCTTAAAGAGTTCTAAATACTTCTAAAAACTTTCAAATACATCAATAGACTCTTTAATACAGTTAAAGACTCCTAAAGACTCCTAAAGGCTTCTAAATACTTCTAAAGACTAGTAAGGACTCCCAAATAAGACTAAAGACACCTATAGACTATTAAAAATTCTGCTTACGACTCCTAGAGACTGGTAATATCACCTAACGATTCCCGAAGGTTTTTAAAGACTTCCAAATATCTCTAAAGACGCCGAAAGACTTCTAAAGTCTCCTAGACACAGCTATATACTCTCCTTAAAGATCCTAAAGATTCCAAACACCTTTAAAGATTCTTACAGACTTATAAAGACTCCTAAAGACTTCTAAAGTTTTCTAAGGGCTTCTAAAGTCTCTGAAACTCAACTAAAGACTTAATAAAACTCTTTGTTACATCTAAAAACTTCTAAAAACCTCCTGACCTCTGAAAACGATACCCAAACAACCCTAATTACTTCTGAAGACTTCTAATGGCTTTTAAGTTACCCTAAAGACTCGTAAAGATTGAAAAAGAATCCTAAAAACACATAAGGTCTGCTAAAGACTCTTGAAAATTGCTAAAGTCTTCTAAAGAGTTTTTAACACTTCTGAAGATATCTGTCGACTAAATACATTTAAAGACCCCTAAACACTTTTAAAAACATTTAAATTCTCCCAGATACTTCTAAAGGCTCCTAAGGTCTCCCAAACATCTCTAAAGATCGCTAAAGACTTCTAGGTTTTACTAAAGACTCTCCATATGATTTCATATACTTCTAAATACTTCGAAGACTCTCCTTACTACTTCTAAAACTGCAATTAATTTCTAAAGACTTCTAAAGAATTTTGAACCCTTCCAAAATACCTCTTAAGAATCTTAAGGTTTCAAAAAGACTTCTAAAGACTCGCAAACACTTTTTGAATTTTCCTTAAGACTCTCAAATCTTTTTAAAGACTTATAATGACTATGAAAGACTTCTAAAATCGTCTAACAACCTCTAAAGTTCCCTAAACTCACCTGAAGGCTAAAGATTCTTTAAAACAGCTACAGACACTTGAAGAGTTCTAAATACTTATAAACACTTTCAAATACATCAATAGACTCTTTAATACAGCTAAAGACTCCTAAAGACTCCTAAAGGCTTTTAAATACTTCTAAAGATTTGTAAAGACTCCCAAATACGCCTAAAGACACCTAAAGACTACTAAAAATTCTGCTTACGACTCCTAGAGACTGGTAACATCACCTAAAGATTCCTAAAGACTTTTAAAGACTTTGAAATATCTCTAAAAACATCTTAAGACTTAGGAAGGCTTCTAATGTCTCCTAAACACTATTATATACTCTCCTAAAAACTTGTAATGGTTCCAAACACCTCTAAAAATTCTTAAAGACTTCTAAAGACTTCTAAAGTTTTCTAAGAGCTTCTAAAGTCTCCGGAACTAAACTAAAGACTTTAGAAAACTCCTTGTTACATCTAGAAACTGCTAAAAACCTCATGATCTGTGAGAACTTTTCAAAATATCCAAACAACCCTATAATTACTTCTGAAGACTCCTAAGGACTTTTAAATATTCTTTTAATCCTCTCTAAAGGCTCCTAAGGTTTTCCAAACGTCCCTAAAAATTGCTAATGACTCCTACGGTTTATGACAGACTCTCCATATGATTCCATACACTTCTAAACACTTCCAAAAATTCTCCTTACTACTTATAAATACTGTAATTAACTTCTAAAGACTTCTAAAGAATTTTAAACCCTTCCAAAATATCTCTGAAGAATGTTAAGGTCTCAAAAAGACTTCTTAAGACTCGTAAATACTTTTTAGACTCTCCTTAAGACTCCTAAATCTTCTTAAAGACTAATAATGACTACAAAAGACTTCTAAAATCGTCTAACAACCTCTAAAGATTCCTAAATTCACCTAACGACTAAAAATTCTTTAAAACAGTTACAGACTCCTAAAGAGTTCTAAATACTTCTAAACACGTCGCATACACCAAAAAACTCTTTGATACAGCTAAAGACTCCTAAAGACTTTTAAATACTTCTAAAGACTAGTAAAGACTCCCAAATATGCCTAAAGACACCTAACGACTAATGAAAATACTTGTTACGACTCCTAGAGACTGGTAACGTCACCTAAAGATTCCTAAAGGTTTTTAAAGACTTCCAAATATCTCTAAAGATACCTGAAGACTTAGAAAAACTTCTTAAGTCTCCTAGACACTAATATATACTCTCCAAATAGCTTCTAAAGATTCCAAACTCCTCTAAAGATTTCAAACTTCTCTAAAGATTCTAAAAGACTTATAAAGACTTCTAAAGACTTTTAAAGTTTTCTAAGGGCTTCTAAAGTCTCCGATACTAAACTAAAGACTAAAGACTCCTAAAAATTGCTAATGACTCCTAAAAAGTTGTTAACACTTCTGAAGATATCTCACTATTCCATACACTGGTTATAATTCCTAAATAATCTCCTTAAGACTTCCGAAGACTTCCAAATATTTCTAAAGGCGCCTTAAGACTCAGGAATACTTCTAAAGACTTCTGGCACTACTATATACTTTCCTAAAAAACTTTTAATTATTCCAAACACCTCTAAAGATTTTTAAAGACTTATAAAGACTTATAAAGTCTCCTAAAGACTACTAAAGTTTTCTAAGGGTTTCTAAAGTCTCCTAAACTCAACACTGAAGACTCCTAATGGCCTTTAAATTATCCTAAAGACTCGTAAAGATTGATAAGGAATCCTAAAGACGCATAATGTCTGCTAGAGACTCCTGAGAATTGCTAATGACTCCTAAAGAGTCCTTAACACTTCTGAATGTGTCTGACGACTATTTAGTCGTCAGACACATTCACTCCTAAAGACTCCTAAAAAACTTCTAAACTCTAAAAACATTTAAATTCTCCCAAATACTTCTAAAGGCTCTTGAAGACTCTCAAATACTCTTGAAGATTCACAAAGACTTCCAGGCTATGGGACCCCATATAAAATATTTTAAGTATGACAATACGATTTCTAGAGAGTGATTATAACTCCTAAAATCTCCTCAAGACTTTCAAAGACTTCCAAATATTTCTAAAGACACCTTAAGACTCAGTAAAGCTTTTAAACAATTCTAGACATTACTACATACTCTGCATACTCTCCTAAAAACTCCTAAAGATTCCAAACATTCTTAAAGGTCCTTAAAGACTTATAAAGACTCTTCAAGAACTCCTAAAGTTTTCTAGGGACTCCTTACCTTCGTTAAAAACTTTAATAAATCACTATTAGCCCAGGCTCTCCAAAGCATAACTTCTACCGCTTCTACCATTTGCTTCTCAATTGACAGATTTTTTTGGTGGTTTTTGATGATTTTGAACGATAACAGTCATTAAATGACTGTTATCGTTTCAAAATCATCAAAAACCACCAAAAAAATTGAGTTGATGCTTTGCTGTTGCTAATAGCAACAGGAAAGCATCAACTCAAAAAAGGAAAATCCAATAAGGGAAAATGAAAAATATTAATCAACTTCTCATTCCAATTTTAGGTCTCCTCTTCACATAGCTGCGGCCCAGGGAAACGTAACTATGGTGAAACTGCTCCTAAAGTACGGCGCAAATTTCGAAGCAAAGGACAAAGACGGCAACACTCCATTGGACATTTGTCTACGAATAAATACCAAGGGCAATCGTCAAATTGCCAAACTACTCCTAGACAATAAAGCCTCATACAACAGTGAGCAAAAAATTCATTGTCAATTCTTCAACAAAATCATGACAGCACACGCAATTAAAATGAAAGTTCTCAATATTAACGAAAATTTCCATTATAATCTTAACGACAACATTACTCTCAAGTTCAATGATTTTTTTATCAAATGCACAAAAGAGAAAACAAAAATGTCATCAATGAAGCTACCATTCTCAAATGGCATTATTTCAATTCTAAATCTACTTACCGGCAATGATTACACAAACTCCCTACTATTGAGGAACGAAGCATTCGTCAATTATTTGAGAGCAATTAATTTAAAGCTACACTATCCAATTTATTATTCAATGTTAAAAACTCAAATTATTAACGGAGCAATGAAGGGTATGTTGACGGAAATTGCTCAACATTGCCTTCGAGTTAGATATAGAAGGCGAAAATCGCCATTTTTCGATATCAACGATTTAGGGTCAATTCACAATATTTACTTGCGTCGTCTCATTGTACTGTCGCCATTAGAAACGAGAAAAAAGCAATTAGTTTTCGAGAGAAAAATTCCCATTTTTCGCTGTATACCGAATCAGTACCTACCCATACCAACTTTAGAGGAATATATGCTTCTGTAATTCCTTAATTTTTTTCGGGAAGAAAAAAAGAATGAAAAGAAATGCAACAATTTTTAATGTTTAATTCTTTGTATATTATAGAAAAAGAAATTTTCTATTTAACTTTTTTTTGGTTTGTAAAATATTTATGTTTCTTGAAATAAAAAAATGAGATTATTTTTGTTTATTTTTTTTTTTAGTTAGTCCACATGCCATTAGGACTCTTGCCTTACAGGGTTGCCACAAAAGTTTAATTTTGTTTTTCCCTGATTTCCAGAAAAAAAATTTCAATATTATTATAAAATAAAAAAATAAATAAAAAAAAATTAATTATTTACAAAAATTCTAATAAAATCCTTCACAAAAATTAATTAATTTATTTATTTATTTATTTTTAAAAGTAGGAAAATTTCTTAAAAAAATGTAATTTTAATTTGATCCTTTTTCAAAATTCAATTATTTTTTAAAAATTCACACAATAACTCTTTTAATATTCAAGTATTATTTCTAAAATTTTACCTGAAATTCATTTTTTAATAAATTTTTATAAGCCAATTTTTTTGAGAATTCAATTATTTACATACAAATAAAATGCAAATAAATAATTTATTCAATAATTGAATATTTCTTAAAATTGAATTTTGTCAAAAATTTTCAAAAATAATTGAATTCTTTCGGTGAATTTAAAAAAAATTTTAAGAATAAATGCAATTTATTTTATTTAAAAAATTTTTTAAAGAATTGACTTCCTGTCAAGAATTTTATTTGTGAAAATAATTAAATTTCGCGGAGAAAAATATTATTATTATTCATGCGAAAATAATTTATTTCTTCTGAAAAATTTTATTCACATTTTTTTTAATAATTGAATTTCTCAGAATTTTTTTAAAACTTTTTTGAAAATAATTAAATTTCATCGAGAAATTTCTCAAAAAAAAAAAAAAAAAAAAATTGAAAATAATTGAAATCTGACAAAGAATTAAAAAAAAATTCTTTTTAAAATAATTGAATTCCTGTTTATTTTTGAAAAGAATTGAATTCTTGTATGAAGAATTTTATTCAAATTTTTTTAAATAATTGAATTTCTCAGAATTTTTTAAAACTTTTTTTGAAAATAATTAAATTCCATCGAAAAATTTCTTTACAAAATTGAAAATAATTGAAATCTGACAAAGAATTAGAAAAAAATTCTTTTTTAAAAAATTGAATTCCTGGAAAGAATTTTATTCAAATTTTTTTAAATAATTAATTGAATTTTTCAGAATTTTTTAAAACTTTTTGAAAATAATTAAATTTACATCGAGAAATATCATTAAAAAATTGACAATAATTGAAATCTGACAAAGAATTGAAAAAAATTCTTTTTTAAATAATTGAATTCCTGGGAAGAATTTTATTTAAGAAAATAATTAAATTCCGGAGAAAAATATTATTATTATTAATGAAAATAAATAATTTCTTTTGAATAATTTTATTCACATTTTTTTAAATAATTGAATTTCTCAGAATTTTTTTAAACTTTTTGAAAATAATTAAATTCCATTGAGAAATTTCTTTAAAAAAAATGAAAATAATTGAAATCTGACGAAGAATTAAAAAAAATTCATTTTTAAATAATTGAATTCCTGTTTATTTTTGAAAAGAATTGAATTCTTGAGAAGAATTTTATTAAAATTTCTTAAATAATAATTGAATTTCTGAGAAGAATTTTATTATTTATAAAAATAATTGGTTTCTAGCGAAGAATTTTATTCTTAAAATTTTTTTTTTAAGAATTGAATTCCCATAAAAAATGTGTTATTTGTGAAAATAATTGAATTCTTAAGAAGAATTGTATTGAAAATAATTGAATTGTATAGGAAAATTTTATTATAATCGCAAGTTTATTAACTAAATCTTGTAAAGAATTTTGTCAAAATTTTTAAAATTTTTCGAAATAATTGAATTTTTTAAAACTATTTTTTTCAATTCTCTGAATTTTTTCAATTCTTTTGAGAAACGTCATTGAAAAATTGAAAATAATTGAATTGGTACGAAGAAATTTATAAAAAAAAATTGGTAAGTAATTGAATTCCTGTGAAATGTTTATAAAAATTTTGTTTATATATAATTGAATTTTTTTGGAAAATTTTTGAAAATAATTGAAATTTTGCCAAGAACTTTATTAAATTTTTTGAAAATAATTGAATTTTGGAGAAGAATTTTATTATTTATAAAGATAATTGAAATTTTCACGAGAATTTAAAACAAAATTTTTGAACATAATTGAATGTATGCGAAGAAGTTCAGTTTTTTCAATTTTTGATTAATAAAACGAACATAACCTAGAAAAATCGAAAAATGATTTAATCTTTCATTATATTTTATTGCAGTATACAATTGGAGCTTGTTTACAAATTAAAATTTATACAAATAAATTAAGGTAGAAATATATTCTTTCCTACAAAATCGAATCCTATTTTGAGAAAAAAAATTAGTGTGTTAATTTTGATAAAAATTACAAAAATGAATTCTTAAATTATTGGCTAAGGCTAAGTCTACAATTGGATTCTTCTTGTTTTTGCTGAACATGACATAAAAGTACAGAGTCGTTTACAATTTTTCTTTCAACGATGCATGTGCTTCCCCTCTCTTAAGGTCCCTCTACAATTCCCAACTTTTCGCCTAGGCCGCACTTTAACAAAAACTTAAAATCCTAATAACTCGAAAACGCCACATCCGATTAAAAATTTCTCCACAACTTTTCGATTCGTTCTAGTAAATAAAATACAATTATCATATTTTAAGCAAATAAAAAATCTTCTTTTTTTCCTAAAATCAATGCAAATAACTGACATGCTGTTCGGGCGTTATGTCCAATGCATTATTACCACTCTCCATTATCGTTAATTTTCTCAGTTTACAAATAGGCGAGACAATAATAAAACGTCTTAATTCCAAATCACTCATACCATTAAAAACAACTGTTCTCACCGTCGCTGGCATATTATTATTAAACAAAACATCAATGCAATAACTCGCTAAACTATTAATATCATGTTTTCTCATACCCTTCGCAAAACGTATTTCCAATAAATCCTCATAAATCGGAAATATCTTGAAATCAATTCTTTTATATTGATCCAAAAAATTTCTCTCCTTTATAAATGCCGCTACTTTATCACAATTTTCCGTCAAAACATCATAAATCGTAATATCCTTGATGAGTTTGATCATTTTCATTCTTTCGAGTTCATCGTGACAATTTTTGTGAAAAATATTCATGTCCGCGAGTCGGGTGTTTTGGTCCAAGTTCCCGACAATTGACCCCCAGCCAATAAGATCGGTTTTTATTTTCTGCATCAGAAGATGATCGTAGAATTCATTTAATTCGATTCTTTGTTGTTGTTGTATCTCATAGAATGCGCCGTGATTTAGTAGTATTTTTGCAATACGAAAATTTCTCTTTCTTCGCCGTTGGAGAATAATGTCGAGTGGGGTCTCATTATTACTGTCACGAACATTAACATCCGCTTGATATTTAAGTAACAGCTTAACATGAGTTTCGTGCTCGAATTCCACAGCCAAATGAAGGGGATAACGTTGTAGATAATCGTGACAATTGACATCGGATCCGGCATCAAGGAGCAAATGAAGACAATCGAAGGAGGAACAACTGAAGATCATGAAGAAGGGACTCTCACCGATTGAATTACGATATTCAATGTTGGCACGTGCCGATAGTAGTTGTTCGACAATCTTTGGATAATTACCCCTCACGGCATAGTGAATTGGACGCATGTACTGGAAATTACGACAATTAACATCCGCACCACGTTTCAGGAGATAATCGACAATTTTATCACGACCGTATTCACAGGCGATGTGTAGCAACGAACCATGTCTGGGAAAGTGAATATCAACATTCACGTGAGGACCCATAAGACCATTGAAGATGTTGAAGAAATCCTGGATTATCGTCGCTTTGATGACGAAGAATTCGAATAAAAGTTCGAGGGACTGCTCGCGATGGAGGAGATAAGGGAGATCTTGATATTCACGATCGTTTTGAATGTCCGTCAAGTGTTGTAGCCAAGGTTGTGGTATGCTTAGGTCAGTGAAATCCGCGTGCACGATACTGTAACCACGTGCAGTGAATAAATTCACCAATTGCTTGGTTTTTGGTTCATCATCATTATGACTGAGTATAGCCAAACAAAAGGCCATTTTATTCTTTGGATCATTGATGTTTGTGTGCATATTGAGAAGTATTTCAGTTGTGATTAAATTCTGCTTCATCACTGCCAAATACAAGGGACAAGAATTATCCGAATCAAGCTCATACGGATCATTATAGTACTTTAATAATCGAATGAATGATTCTGGATTTTCAAATAATTCCGCAGCAAAATGCAGTGCTGTAGGTTTATCATCAATTAAAACATTAGAATCATCGCCATCCTTCAAGAGAACATCCACCATTTGATGACCGAATAAACGTATACTTTGGGATAGTACAGAACCATCAATATCGTCATCATCATCCTCGTTGTTATCATCATCTCCAGCCAACTTTCTACTAATGGGATTATTCACCACAATTGGTGAACATTTATCTAGAATTTTCGTCACAGCCTCGCCGATGTATCCAAAGTCCTGATAAATTTTCGAATCGATGTAAATTCCATTCTCCAGAAGATTACACAGTATGTTGTTTGCTGATGATTTATTGAGACTATTTTCATCTTTGGAATTGATGTTTCCTCGGGAAATTAATAGTTTTATAATTTCTACTTGCTTCCTTTCGATTGCCAAATAAATGAGATTGATGTCAATCTTATAGAATGGATGGTATTGGAAAAATTTTTGAACATCATTCACTTGATTGTTGAGAATTAAGTCTCTTAATTGATTGTATAATAGAGACATTTTTCTATTCTTTTTTTTTCTTTATGGATTGTGCAGTGTTTGCAAATATTGCCTTGGAATATTTTGTTGATAGTGATTATCAATTCTGGAACAGAAGGAGGAAAAAATTATTATAAAGAGGAGTTTAAGTGAAGAATTTTACATATACAAGAAAACTTATAGCCATTTGAATTCAAACCAAGTATACATGTTGAAAATATCGAATTCCTAAAATTATAAAAAACGTTCTCAAATCTTTATCATAGCCTATACTCGTAGTGAGATAAAAGTTAGGGAAAGAGTCAAGCTTCAATTTGGTACTAACCGGAACTTGATATCTTGCATACCAGAAAAGTTATAGCCATTTGAATTCATACCAATTTTACATGTTGAACATATCAAATTTCTACAATCATAAAAAATACGTTTTACGTAAACGTAAAATACGTTCTACGTTTTCAAATATTAATCGTAGCCTATACTCGTAATAAGATAAAAGTTAGGAAAAGAGTCAAGCTTCATTTTGGTACCAACCGGAACTTGATATTTTGCATAAAAGAAAACTTAGGGCCATTTGAATTCAAAACAAGTTTGCCTGTTGAAAATACCAAATTTCTACAATCATAAAAAACGTTCTCAAATAGTTATCCTAGCCTATACTCGTAATGAAATAAAAGTTAGGGAAAGAGTCAAGCTTCATTTTGGTACCAACCGGAACTTGATATCTTGCATACCAGAAAAGTTATGGCCATTTAAATTCATACCAATGTTACATGTTGGAAATATCAAAGTTCTAAAATCATAAAAAACGTTCTCAAATATTAATCGTAGCCTATACTCGTAATGAGATAAAAGTTAGGGAAAGAGTCAAGCTTCATTTTGGTACCAACCGGAACTTGATATCTTGCATACAAGTAAACTAAGGGTCATTTGAATTCATACCAATGTTACATGTTGGAAATATCAAATTCCTACAATCATGAAAAACGTTCTCAAATATTAATCGTAGCCTATACTCTTAATAAGATAAAAGTTAGGGAAAGAGTCAAGCTTCATTTTGGTACAAACCGGAACTTGATATCTTGCATACAAGTAAACTAAGGGTCATTTGAATTCATACCAATGTTACATGTTGGAAATATCAAAGTTCTAAAATCATAAAAAACGTTCTCAAATATTAATCGTAGCCTATACTCGTAATGAGATAAAAGTTAGGGAAAGAGTCAAGCTTCATTTTGGTACAAACCGGAACTTGATATCTTGCATACAAGAAAACTTAGGGCCATTTGAATTCATACCAATGTTACATGTTGGAAATATCAAATTCCTACAATCATGAAAAACGTTCTCAAATATTAATCGTAGCCTATACTCGTAATGAGATAAAAGTTAGGGAAAGAGTCAAGCTTCATTTTGGTACAAACCGGAACTTGATATCTTGCATACAAGAAAACTTAGGGCCATTTGAATTCATACCAATGTTACATGTTGGAAATATCAAAGTTCTAAAATCATAAAAAACGTTCTCAAATATTAATCGTAGCCTATACTCTTAATAAGATAAAAGTTAGGGAAAGAGTCAAGCTTCAATTTGGTACCAACCGGAACTTGATATCTTGCATACTTGAAAAGTTATGGCCATTTAAATTCATACCAATGTTACATGTTGGAAATATCAAAGTTCTAAAATCATAAAAAACGTTCTCAAATATTAATCGTAGCCTATACTCGTAATGAGATAAAAGTTAGGGAAAGAGTCAAGCTTCATTTTGGTACCAACCGGAACTTGATATCTTGCATACAAGTAAACTAAGGGTCATTTGAATTCATACCAATGTTACATGTTGGAAATATCAAATTCCTACAATCATAAAAAACGTTCTCAAATATTAATCGTAGCCTATACTCGTAATGAGATAAAAGTTAGGGAAAGAGTCAAGCTTCATTTTGGTACCAACCGGAACCTTTAACGCTCACTCTGAGTGATAGAGTTGGAGACGAAACGTAGAAGAAATTATTAAATATGGATTCATAATAAGTCTGATAATTAAATTATGAATCCTGAAATTGAACAAATTTTAAGAAATTATAAATCTGGAACCTTTTCGTTGAGTCGATAGTCTAATAATAATGACATAATCAAAATAACAAATATAAATACAGAAAAATAATAATAACAAAGTTCATTAGAAAAAATGTAAAGCAGTTATTTTTAATCATTTTGTATAAAAAAACTACCTAAATATTATATTTCCGCTGTTAACAAAAATGTCTCTCGTCTTGAAATCGTTTGTTTGAAAAAAATGTTTGTAAAGAAGAAATTGTAAATATTATATTATTCACGCGAATGAATCGAAAGATTACAGCATAATTATAAAATAAATTATATATATTTATCAAATAAAGTAAAGTAGTTCCTTCAATTTTTAAAACAAAGTATAAATATTATTTAAAATATTTTATTTATTATTATAATTTTATTATTATAAATATTTTATTTGTTATTATAATTTTATTATTATAAATATTTTATTTATCATTATAATTTTATTATTATAAATATTTATTTATTATTATAATTGTATATTATTATAAATAGTTATTTACATGTTAATGGGTAATATTATTTTTATTATAAGAAAACAAAATTTTCCATATATAATTACTTTAATTTGGAAAAAAATTATTATCTTTATACCAGGGTTATAATCAGAAATATTATTTACAAAATTTTAATCCACAACTATCAGAATTATACGACAAATTATAATTATTATTATTAATTAATTAATTAATTAATGTAAATCAACTTTCTTTAAAAATTTTTAATTTAAAAAAAAATATGACCGTTTATTTGTTAGAATATAAATTATAAAAATATAAAATAAAATAAAATATGTATAGAATACAAATAAATTAAATATATAAATATACAATATAGGTCGAAATATAGGTTTGATTTATAAAATTAAATTTTTCTTTTCCTTGTTAAATATTCAAAAACATAAATTAATATATACTAATAAATAAAAGTACAGAATAAAATCGTTCAATAAATTCTTTCTTTTATTTTCTATGGGACAAAAATGGAATAAAATTTTCATTAACGTACCTGAAGTTGATAAAATTGCATTTATTTTCCTTTATTACAATAAAATCGAGAAAAACAATCCAGTTGTAATTTTCTCCTTTTTTTATCACTTATATAAAAATCACAAATATTTATTAAAATCCATAAATTAAATGCCCAAATAATAAAAAAAGTAAACATAAATAATTAATTTAAATTTATTATTATAAAATGAAATTAATTAAATGTTCAAATTCTTCCAATATCTAAACTCGTTTTTCAAAGCCATTCACTTTGTATATTCGTTTCGGAATCTGTTATTCTCATTATATATTAATTTCATAAAGGTATGAGTATGTATATATATACAAAATGAAAAGAAAATAAAAGTAAATACGGAAATTACAGTATATTAAGTACATTACAACAATAATAATAATAATTATAATACATGTAGATACCAACTTTCGAATGAAACAAAAATCTTAAAAACTAAAAATACCAAGAAAATTTATGCAATTATAAAAAAATGAAATATTAAAATAATAAATATAAGACAGAAAAATAAAAAAAAATTTTTTTAATGAATAAATAAATAAAAATAAATATAATTTTACAATTAATTTTCTTTTACAATAAAATTGATATAAAAAATAAATAATTTTTTAAATGTATATTTATGGGTAGATATAATATTATTATTTTATTATTCTTTAAAAATAAATTGAATATATTTTTCATTGACAAAAAAACAATGATAAAAAATATTTTAAAAATTATTTAAAAATTTTAATATCATGTTAAAAAATTAATTTTTAATTATTATATTTTATATTTCATAAAATTATATTATTATTAATAATATTTATTATTTATTGTCAACATGTTTACTGACAAAAATTATTATTAATTAACAAAATTTTTTAAATATTTATTATTATTCGAATTATTATTATTATTAATATTATTCTTATTCTTATATTAATAATAATTAAATAATAATTTAATAACAGGCAAATAATAATAATCACTACTCACTAATTACTATCTTATTTTTATCAAAAATCTCGGACGTTAAAGATTAACTATAACAAATTACTATTATTTTTTTAAATTTTAAATTGATCGTTTGATCATAATTTTTATTATTTAAATAATAAAAATTATGATCAAACAAATTGTAGTGGATAAAATCCATAATTTTTTTTTATCGTAGTAATAATTTAGAGAAATTTCTCTAAATTGTTACTTCTAAAAAAAAATCTTATGAATTTTATCCACTAATTTATATTAAATTATTATTTAATTATTATTATTTAATAATTATTTTAAAATAAAAATATCACGAGCTCGAAACGCTTCAAAGAAAGGTGCGCGCCAAAGATTCAACAAATTTTTGGTTATGTTTTTGTAATTTTTTGAATAAAAATACGCAAAGAAGATCAACTCTCAATATAAATCACTGATGTTTAAGTCTTCATTTACATTTAAAATATTTAATAAATACTGATTTTAATTTTTTTTTGCAATAAAACAGAAACTTTAAATTAAAGGAAAAATAATAAAAACATAACATTAAAATATTTTACTTTTTTGGAATCTTTCTTTGGATCTATCTTTAGATACATATCATATGTTATGTTTACTGTACATTTATTACATTAAAATATTAATTTTTACATAATAAAAATAAATATATATAAAAAAATCATTTTCGTTCCAAAAAAAGTTCTTGTAACGTTTTTTTACATCTTATTATTATTATTTGAACATTTCATGTTCTTAAAATATTTTGGAACATTATTTACGGTTATGTGAAACATTCTAAAATGATTTCAAGAACGTTCTTTGAATTATGAACATTACAATTTTTTTGCCTCGAGGGAATAGAGTATAGTTACAATTTGATAAATAAATAAATATTCGGGTATTTTTAATCGCACAACGTTTTTCAAAATTCTTCGCTTCTGAAAGTTTCCAATTTTTTCTATTTCTTATAGTAACAATTATAACCAGGATAGAATTGTCCGTGACCATTGTCTCTACAATCATAACCGCCATGTAGATATTGTGAAGAAAATGCTGATTCTGATGATTCTGATGATTCCGATCCAGAATCTGATTCCGATCCTGAATCTGATCCTGAATCTGATCCTGAGTCTGAGTCTGATTCATCCGAGTCACATTCTTCCGAACTATGACACTTTTTACAATTTTTACCCACGATCGATTTATTACAACAACATTTATTCTTATTTCCGTTATTTGTTTCGGTTCCATTATTTGCTGTTTCCCCTCCATTAGGTTGTGTCGAACTTTCTCCTTCATTATTACCAGTATTATTATTATTATTATTTTTATCACCCGATGGCGATGCTGATCCACCAGGTGCTCCAACTGGTTGAGGATTTTGGTTCGGATTATCTTGTTTATCACTTTGTAAGGAACCAAGTGGTGCATTAGGTCTGCTTTGTTGTTCATCAGTGTCTTCTTCGTCATCGATGTTGTCATTATTTTCAGATGATTTTTTATCAGTAGGCGTAATTGTTTTAGCCTTTTTGATAGGTTCAGCTCCTTGTGAAATGGGAGAAATTGGTTTATCTGATTTTTCTGAATGTTTTCCAGAAGGATCTATAAAGTCTTCGTCGTCGTCGTCGTCGTCATCATCATCGAGTAATAATTTCTTTCTGTCACTTGGAATTTCAGGACTTACTGCTTTATCTGCAGGTGATTGTTTATTATCAGACAGTTTGTGTTTCTTATCGTTTGGTGATGTTGCACTTCCTGCTGCAGGAGATTTTGGAGCATTTTCCTTATCAAGTTGGTCGTAGTAATCATCCATATCTTCATATTCTTGTTCTTTTTCTTTAGCTACTTTTTCAGCTTTTTCTTTAGCTTCCTTTTCAGCTTTAGCTTTAGCTTCTTTTTCAGCTTTAGCTTTAGCTTTAGCTTCTTCTTTAGCTTTAGCTCCTTCTGATATTAAGTGAAAGGGAGAAATTGGTTTTTTATTTTTTAAATGTTTTTCATCATTATTTATAAAGTCTTCGTCGTCGTCATCGTCATCATCAAGTAATAATTTCGTTCTGTCACTTGGAATTTCAGGACTTACTGCTTCATCTGTAGGTGATTGTTTATCATTAGTCAATTTATTTTTCTTATCGTTTGGTGATGTTGCACTTCCTGATGCAGGAGATTTTGGAGCATTTTCCTTATCAAGTTGGTCGTAGTAATCATCCATATCTTCATATTCTTGTTCTCTTTCTTTAGCTTTAATTCTAGCTTTCTCTGCAGCTCTAGCTTCTTCTTCTCTAAGTCTAGCTTCTTCTTTAACTTTGGCTTTAATTCTAGCTTCCTCTGCAGCTCTAGCTTCTTGTTCAGCTTTGGCTTTAATTCTAGCTTCCTCTGCAACTCTAACTTCTTCTCTAGCTTCTTCTTCAGCTTCAGCTTTAATTCTAGCTTTCTCTGCAGCTCTAGCTTCTTCTTCTGCAACTCTAGCTTTTTCTTCAGCTTTAGCTCTAATTCTAGCTTTCTCTGCAGCTCTAGCTTCTTCTTCTGCAACTCTAGCTTTTTCTTCAGCTTTAGCTCTAATTCTAGCTTTCTCTGCAGCTCTAGCTTCTTCTTCTCTAAGTCTAGCTTCTTCTTTAACTTTGGCTTTAATTCTAGCTTCCTCTGCAGCTCTAGCTTCTTCTTCAGCTTCAGCTTTAATTCTAGCTTCCTCTGCAACTCTAACTTCTTCTCTAGCTTCTTCTTCAGCTTCAGCTTCAATTCTAGCTTTCTCTGCAGCTCTAGCTTCTTCTTCTTCTGCAACTCTAGCTTTTTCTTCAGCTTTAGCTCTAATTCTAGCTTCCTCTGCAGCTCTAGCTTCTTCTTTCTCTTCAACTTTAAGTCTCAATTGTTCTTTAATAGCAACTTCTAAATTTTCATCTTCATTCGAATCTTCATCTGCATCTTCTGCATCACCAATAACTACAGGCGATGATGTTCCATTAAATCTATCACCTTTCGTATTATCATTCTGTAATTTATTATCAGCAAGATTGGTATTTTTTTGTTCAGATTGATTATTATCGTAGATTTTAGTTACTTTTTCATTCTTTCGAAATTTCTTTGGTTTTTTCCCTGTTGTTGGTGGTGGTGTTGTTGTTTCAGATGTTGTGGTAATTCCCTTTTTATCAGCATGATGACAATTTGCAAATTTTTTTGCAAATGGTTTAAAAAATTCTAATAGTAATTTTGTCTTCTCCTCCTTTGTCATTGGTAATAATGAATGTACAGATAATAATTTAATTGCTTTATTAACAGCACCATCCAAATCTTCATTCCAATATTTTGAACATGGACATGTGAATTTCTGAAAAGGAACAAAAATATTTTATATTTTTATTAAAATGAATAATTTTTTTTTATTCTTAATTTTAAAAAATTAATTAATTAATTAATTAATTAATAAAATTAATTAATTAAGAATAAAAAAAAAATTATTGAGATTGTAAAAGTTATCAAATTGACACTGAATTTAAATGAGAAAATTTTGAATAATATATAGAAAACTATGAAACCAAATTTTCGAATAAAAAAATTTTTTCTTACTTTCTTGGGCTTAACTTAAAAATATATTACTTGCAATAAGAAGAGTATATAAAGTTATCAAATTAAATAAAAAAAAAAAATTTTAATTAAAAAAAATTAAAAAAATTAAAAATTTTAAATTTTAAATTTAAATTAATTTTAAATTTTTAAATTTAAAAATTAATTAAATTAAAATTAAATTAAAAAAATTAAAAATTTAAATTTAAAAAAAAAATAAATAAAATTTAAAAAATTTTAAATTTCTCGGGCTTTACTTAAAAAGATATCACTTCCAATCAGAATATGTTATTTGTTAATTAAAAATTTTATTTGTAAAATTTTTTAGATTAAATTTAAAAACTATCACACTTTTTAAAATAACTATCACATTACTATTAGATTTTTAAATTACACGTAAATTTAGTTTTGAAAAAAAGTCAAAGAACATTAAAACAAAACAAGCACCCACTTAAATTTGAAAATAAAATTTTAAAGATAAATATTCTTTTTGTTTAAAAAAAAAAATTTGAAAAATTAACAAGGTGCCAGTTTTATTCAATATCTACTTGTAAATTTTATTTCAGAACTCATGCTAATTTTAATAATACAAGCAAAACTCATTAAATTTTTTTGTTTCTATAGAAAAGTAAAAAAAAAAAAATTTTTTAAGGTTTAATTTTTTAAAAAATATAGAATTTAGTGGTTTAGAAGAAAAAAATGATAATGAATACATTTTGGAAAATAAAAAAATATTATATGCTTTTAATCAATAATAATAATAATAATTTTTTTTTTTTTTTTTTTTTAAGTAACGACAATAATAATAGAAATAATACCTAACTGATATTAATTGTACTAATTATTAACGTATTAAAATGAGATTTATAAAATTTTATATAAATTTATTATAAATTAATATAAATTCTACTATATTTTTCAATAAATATAAATATAATATTTATAGTAAAATAAAAAATTAATATAACAACAAATAAATTAAATTCTTACCTTATCCGTTACTTCGACACTTTCCTTCGTTGAATATGCGAAATTTAATTTCAATAAATAATTACAAATTAAAACTACAATAAACGTGTATCGCATTTTGAATGTGCACTTTTATAATGAGCAAAAATAATGCTTTTTGTCAAATTAAATTTTCTTTATATATTAACTCGCCACTGTTGACATGACACGTAAAACGTGATTTTCAATAGCAACATTATTGAAATTTAATCTTTTCCGTTTTAAATTAATTTCATTTTTATTATTTTGTTTATATGTGATTTTATATGATAAGAAAAATGGAAAAAAAATTTCTCTTATTGTTGAAGAAAAACAAAAAAAAATTCGTGACATATCTCTTGAACTTAATAATAAAAAAAAAAAAATTAATTTTTTTAAACACTTTATTTTTTCCACAATAATATATTCACAATCAATTTTTTAATATATCAATTGTTTTTTTCATTTAAAAATCATTTTTTGAATTATAAAAATTGATATTAATAAATGGATATATTGTTTAAAAATATTGATAAAGTTTTTTTTTATAATTATAAAGAAATTAAAATACTTAAAATTATTAAAAAATAATTTAAAATCAAATATAAAGAAAGTAATAATAATAATGATGATAATGATGATAATAATAATTTTCTTTTACTGTTATTATTATATTATATTAGGTGTAACAAAAAAAAACAAATTAATGTACACGATACATTATAAAAAAAAGATAATAATAAAAATAAAAATTATAATAATAATAATAATAATAATAATAATTTACAAATTTAATATTAATGAAAAATTATATAAAAAATTGACAAATTTAAAAAATAAATGAATATTAAGAATAATACTGTACTAAAATTATTAAAGTAAACAGATTTTGATTTATTATTTAATTTAAAATTCAAAAATAATAAGTATCGTGTCCCTGACATTCACTAATACAATTACACCTATATATATAATTTTGTTATTATTGAACGGTCAGAACTTAAAATTCGCTTCTATAGTATAATTTACTTCTTCATTGACTTTCGCAATTAATTTCATTTTAATTTAGTGTTTGTTTTTTTTCGATAAAAATTTATATGTAAAATACATATTTTATAATTATTTTTCTCAATTTATGTATGTATATGTGTCACAGTGAATTTTTACATAAACAAAAATCAAAGGGAAACGATTCATAATTTAGAATTTTAATTAAATGAATGGAATTTCCGCAAATTCAGGTATGATTGTGTTTTTTTCATAATATAATATAATATAATATAATATAATATAATATAATATAATATAATATAATATAATATAATATAATATAATATAATATAATATAATATAATATAATATAATATAATATAATATAATATAATATAATATAATATAATATAATATAATATAATATAATATAATATAATATAATATAATATAATATAATATAATATAATATATAATATAATATAATAAAATATAATATAATATAATATATTATATTATAATATATTAATATATTGTAATAATACCCTTACATATTCGAAATTATTATTGCTAATTATTTTCATTGCTTGTGATAGAATTATAATAATTAACCATAACTATAATATTAGTATAATTATACATTATATTTATTTTAAATTAATTCTTCAGATTTTTGTTGAAGTACATTCTTGACATTACATTATTTCATATCTGCATTTTATAAATGACTTTGTTTACAAATTTGAATTATTTCAAAACAGGAAATTTTGCATATTTGCGTTTAAAGTTTTTAAATTTCTCTTTATAATAAAGTGATTTTTAAAAATAAATCTAATTATTACCCATTATTTTTTTATAAATAAAAAATAGCAATTTCTTTTAAAATAATTTAACAAATGCTTAATAAGAAAGTTATAATAATTAATAATAATTTACTAATTATTAAAAAAATAAATTATAAATTAAGTTATAAATATTAACCCAAATACCACGTATAAAGCAGAATATACTTGCAAAAACATGTAAATTTTAAAAATTACATTGGAAGATAGAATAATATTTATTATATGGGTGATTCTCCTGAAAGGGACCCTTTTTTGGTTGAATTTCCAAAAAATCAAATTATTCTTTTTTTGTTACTTTTCTTTCATAAATAAGTTTAGAAAATGTTTAAAGATAAAAATATAAGTTGCGCAAAATTAATTTTTAGAAATAAGACCTCCAGGAACATTTTACTATCATGTGTTCTAGAGGTTAAGTATAATTAATTATAACTTTTAAATTAATTATTTTGTAAAAAAAACTCGGTAGGAATATTTTTTTTAAATAATAAATTGTTATGTTTTAATTTATTGCACTTTTTGCTTGTATATTTTATTTTTATTAAATTAATAATTTAATTTGAGGGTTAAATATTTCAAAACAATGATTAAAAAATTAAAAACAAAAGAAAACGCCTATCAAATATAAAAAAGGCTTCGGAGATGAATTGATAATTTAATGAAAAAATTCTCATTTTTTCTAATTTTAAAAATATTACAATTTTTTAAACAATATTTTTAGTTTTAATCATCAAATATTTTCACATCGATTACATATTATGTTTAAAACGTTAAAAAATATGATGTTATTATATAGAAAATGAGGCTTCGGAGATGAATTTAATTTTTACTCTCATTGATAATACTATTTTAATTAATAATTTAAATAACTTTTTTTACCTTATTTTAAACAAATGTAAGTAAAAAATAATCCTTATATTCTAAACTTTAATTTGATATATATCATAAATATGTTGAAATTGTTTAAATACGTTAAAATATAATTATAAAATATACATTCTGTTTAACCAAAATTCGATGACAAAATTAAATATGTTTTTTAAATAGGAAGAAATTTAAATATAAGCAATAGAAGATTATATAAAGATAGATAAATCTTCGTAGATTATAAATAAATTTTTCAAAAAATTTAAACTTGATAAAATATTAATGAAAAATTAATTTAAATAATGAACCTCATGTTGGAGACACGTGAAGTGGTCCCTTTCAGGAGAATCACCCATATACCTAATTATTTATAAATTAGCTTGAAAATAGTTTAAAAAATTATTTCTAAACTTTTTTCATTAATTTCATTAATTTTATTAATTTCATTAATTTTATTAATTTCATTAATTTCATTAATTTAATTAATTTATAGTATCAGAATTTTATGTAAAATGTTCCATTTGTATAAATTATTATCGACAATCGGCAATATTAATGTCTATAATGTCAGTAATCGGTTAAGAAATTAACTAACTTGCTTTCAGATGGTAAGGTAGAGGTCTATTTTTTTATACCGACAGTCGGTAATACTGATTTCACCATTATAATAATAGTCGGTAAAACAGTCGTTATACCAATTTTGTCCGAAATAAAAATTATAATTACAAATCTTGTCAATTATCATTAATTTTCTTTTATTTCTTAATTTTGCAGATTACATTCTTTGACAAGTGATATTTAAAAAAAGAAGTGAGAAAAAAAGCAAAAACTAACGAAGAAATAATAAAATATACCAAAAAAAAAAAAAAATGGAGGCAACACAAACGTTTGAATCACGATTAAGGAGAATGATTCTTATTGGTGATGAAGATGAAATAAGGGCCTATTTACAGTTTCATCAAATATTTCAACTTGACATTGGTATATTGAATTTGGCAATAAGTTGTAATCGACTGGAAATTGTTAAAATGATACTCAATTATGGAACACAAACAAATCCAAATCAAAGAAGTGCCTCATTACCATTGTACGTTGCCTATCAATGTAAAAATTATACCATGTGCCGTCTACTTGTTTCACATGGTGTTGACATTAATATGGAAATAAATGAAAATTTAACATTATTGGAGAATGCAATTTGTGACAATGAAGTGAATTTTGTTGAATTTTCACTTGCAAATGGCGCCGATATGAATCGTATCAATAAAAAATATTCATGTTCACCACTTCATCTCGCATGTTTTGTGGAGAATGCAGTTATTGTGGAGAAATTATTGAGATATAATGCTGAAATTGATGCAAAGGATTCAAGAGGTATGTTTATTGGTATATTTTTGTTTGGGTGATTTTTTAAGGCCGGGTTTTTTTATTATGTGTTTTTCTTATTCGCACTTTGTTTTTCGTGGTTAACACGTGGATTAGACAAGGAGAGACATGCCTTCTCATTGCTGTCCTTGTTCAACGCACGTATATTGCCTTAGGCTGAGTTCATATGTCCAGTAATATTACTGACAAAAATATAACCAGTCCGAGTCAAATAAGAGCGAACATTTTACTTGAAATTATAAATTTAATTTTTCATAACTATAATAAAACATGAAGATATCGATCACTCCGAGTCTTCGACTCGGAGTCATAGATTTCTTCATCACTGCTAACTGTCAGAAAAATTATAACGTATTTTTAATTATTGCTGTCAGATGACAATAACGCGGTTGATGCGATAGAAAGGGAAAGGGGTCGTGCATCGTTTCTCATATGACGCTAAGGGTGTTCTCACACTGGCGCGCATCTTTTCGAAATGACGCTACAGGTGCTCTCACACTGTCGCGAATCTTTTCGAAATGACGCTAAAGGTGCTCTCACACTGCGAATCGTAACGTGCAAAATAGAAAATAATCAAAATAAACTTCCCTCCTCGTATATCTCATCCTCTAAATTATTTATCTCTTTCTAACTAAAAATAACGGGAAATTTATATATTTTTAATAATAATAATTACATAGGCAGTTTTCTGATACTTTTTTTTCTGATTTTTCAGGTACGACTGCACTGTGTCAGAGTCTATTACTAAACGACGCAAATAGTGTCAAAGTTCTCATACAATTTGGCGCGAACGTGAATTTCATCACCAACGGTGGACAAGTTCCTCTTCATCTAGCAGCAGGACACTTTAAAAATACCGAAGTAATGAGACTATTTTTATCAAAAATTCAGAATCACTATCCCCAAGATGAAACTAATTGCATTCCCCACTATCTCGCGGTTTACAAGCAAAACACCGTCGCACTAGAATTACTACTCGACACTAATCCAAACAAAAATGATCCCCGAAATAAAATGACCTTCTGTCTCGCTCTCCTAGCCGGAAGTTCGTATCTAAAAGACCGGAAGATGATTGACATTTTTGTAAAACGTGGTTACATGTTGAAAAACGAGGACTTTAGGAATGTTCAAATACCACAACCCTGGAGGGAGTGTCTCGAGAAGACCCACAAAAGTACCGACTATCAATTCGTGCCGTTAGTGGTCCGAAAAATAGTGACAATCGAGATACTTTTTGGTTTTTTGGTCCTAAAAGCGGCGGTTATACTCGGACTCAAGGAATTAGTGATGAGTCTCCTGAATCCAAAGGCTGAGCTAAATGTCGGTTTTATGGAGAAGCGAAGATCGTTTCTACACATGGCGGCCGAATTCGGTCACTTGGAGGTTGTTGCCGAATTATTGCGACGTGGGGCCGAAGTGAATTACACCGATGCCGATGGAATGAGTGCACTGCATTTCGCCGCAAGGAATGATCGTGGTAATATTGTTAAACTCCTCCTCGATCACGGTGCAAATATCGAGGCGAAAAGTAATAATTCCGAGACGCCATTATTCCTGGCCGTCCATTGCTGTTCATATCAGTCGATAACACTTCTACTCAACTCAGGCGCCGATGTCAATTGTCCCGATTCAAGTCTCATGTCACCATTGCACATCGCCGCCGAATTCGAGCAGGAAATGCTCGTTCAATTACTCCTTCAATATGACGCCGATATAGACGCAAAAATACCCAACAACGAGACAGCACTCGAAATAAGCCTCCGACGTAATGGTAAAGAAAATATGAAAATTGTGAAAAATCTTCTCAATAATGGCGCCAAATATTACGCCGACTATCAACCGATTTATTTCCGTGATTATCACAAATTACTCATAACCTATAAGATCCGTTGGGATTTTATTGGTTCGCAAAATATTTCCTACAGTCTCTCGCCAACGCGCGCTGAAACATTAATTTTCTCCGGCGATTGTGATGATGAAATTGAAAAAATTAAGTTTATGAAAATTGGCCTCACGCAAACAATTGGACATCTTTTGATAAATTGGGACGACGATCAACTTGCTCTTATCTTAAGAAACGAGAGTTATGTCGAAAATTTGAAATCAGCGAAATTACATTTAATGTTTCCAATTTATGGTGCAATTATTGAGGCTAAAATATTGCGAGCATTGAGAAGAAGTCGTTTACTCAAGATGGCGCATCATTGTCTTGATGTTCTCTTCAGAAAATCCGTCTCACCGTTAATTAGTGATAATATTTTGTTGGGTCTAACGAATTTGGATTTACGACGTTTAATCGTTGCAACGCCCTTTGAGTGTGAGAGGAAGAAAAATTTCTTCGCCAATGGTCTTTTTTTGGTACGTAAAATAAAAGACTATGTGGATTGAATTTTTCCTTCTTTAACGCAAATATAATCAAGGCTAGTCAATAATTTTTAATTATCTTATTCTTGTAGTTAACTACTTTTTCTTGTAATTTTTTTTAAACGATGACAATTTGACTTTTGTGGAGAAATTATTTTGTAAAGATATGAATGCACCTTTATTCTTGGAATTTCGTTTATGGTAGGTTCACACTCCTATTTGATTGTTGAAAATTTACTGAAAATTGTACGAACAAAAGTGTATGAACGAAGCATTAATGTGTTTTGCAATCAATGAACATATTGAGAAAGAAAAAATAAATTTCAAAGATTAATTATTATTTTATTTTCTTAAATACTAACCGCATTTTCTTACGTTCCCAACCCTGGCGTTTACTCGTTCCGACAGTTCCATTTAAACAAAAAAAAACACTCGACAGTTGCCGGTTGGCGTAAAGGTGCTTCTATACCTCCGGTGGATTGGTCAAGCAATCGGCTCGATGAATTTTCACGGTCGGAAAATGTACTTTCATGGCGGGTATTTTTGAATAAGTACACTGTAAAAAAATCTGCTGTAAATTTACTATGTCCGACGTTGGAAAGTTTGGTCACTATGTCCGACGTGGTATTTTTACACGCCGACTGTAATCTACATAACCTGCAAATATTTTTTGAAATAATATTTTCAGTCGTAACTTTTTGTATTTATGAAATATAGCCCAAAACTTTTTGTTATATTATTATTTACTTATAAATTAGCATATACTTTCTATAAATGTACATTATATACACTTTTTTAGAGTTATTTATAAAAACTTGAAAATTTTTTGAAAATCTTAAAGGAATAAGAAAATTACATTCGCCATGTAATTGTACAGATCGTGCGACGTAATATTACGTCAAAGTGTAGAAATACACGCAATGTAAAAATACCACGTCGGACATAGTGATCAAATTTTCCTACGTCGGACGTAGTAAATTTACACAAAACTATTAAATTACATAGTCGTATAATGTAAAATTATTAAAAATAGTAAAACTACTTTTGGAACGAAATAAATTTACTACGTACAACCTATAATTTTGATGTGTGAAATTACAAGTTTCGTGTTATTTTACACCAGATTTTTTTACAGTGTAAATGTTGAAAAGGTTTTTACTTGAAAATTTATTTAAAAAAATGATTTTATCATAGAAATTCTTTTGAAATTTATGTTAAAAAACATGTTTTATTTTAAAAGTTATCAAATTTTACATAATTCAAAATGTTTTAATTTTCCAAAGAAGTGTAAAAAGCCTAATGTTTTTGAAATGCTAGTACAGACGGTACAGACTGTTTGTTATGAATGTACATAACCTAGCGTTGTGTTGTCTGTTCATTATTATTTAATATAATAATAATAAAATCATTAAATTTAGAATATAATATCACAAGCACCACAACACAACGCTAGGTTATGTACATTCATAACAAACAGTCTGTACCGTCTCTACTAGCATTTCAAAAACATTAGGCTTTTTACACTTCTTTGGAAAATTAAAACATTTTGAATTAAAATTTGATAACTTTTAAAATAAAACATGTTTTTTAACATATATTTCAAAAGAATTTCTATGATAAAATCATTTTTTTAAATAAATTTTCAAGTAAAAACCTTTTCAACATTTACTTATTCAAAAATACCCGCCATGAAAGTACATTTTCCGACCGTGAAAATTCATCAAGCCGATTGCTTGACCAATCCACCGGAGGTATAGAAGCACCTTTAAGAAACTACAGTGTTGTTTTTCTATTTCTATTGTTAATACAGATTTGTGGTTGCATCCTTTATGTTACTTTGAATATTCATTGTGCACGGACCATGTTTGTAAGAACCTTATTTTCTTACGTTCCCAACCCTGACGTTTACTGCTCGTTCCCTCCAACACTCGACAGTTCCATTTAAACAAAATAAAAACACTGGACAGGTCGACAGTTGCCGGTTGTCGTGAAGAAACTACAGTGTTGTTATTTTATTGTTAATATTATATTAAAAACTTTAATTAAAAATGAAAAAACTATTATCGCGATTTGTTCCAAATCTTAAAGTTTATTTAATTTGCCTTTAAACTATCGAGTTGATCGTCATTTACAAATTTATTGCTTTTACTGGTTTTATTGACATTTTGCCGTATATTTTTCCGTGTGCAGAAATAACATCAAGAGACGAAATATTTATTAATTTCTCAACGTCAAATTGCCGAGAGTGAGTTATTTTTCGAGTGGGTAAGTAAATTAAGTTTATTGTAAATAATATTTTTTTGTTCAAAATAAGTTTACCAAGTTTACAAAGACGGCCAAAGGGGCAATAACATTTACTTCCCCTCTCCCCCTCCTCTTTGCAAAGTGATTTATTTGGCGCCAAATAGAGCGATGCAGCCATTTTTCTTTCGTCGTTCGTCGAGTGCAGTGCTTTTTTCTATACACAATTTTTATCGAATTGTTTTTCTCCGTTATTTTTCATTTGTTATTGTACGAAAGTGACAAAATGTGTTTATGATTAAGAAATAATTATGAATTTTTATCCCAGTGCGCGTATAATTTCGTTTAATTTTCTATTAATCTGAAGAGAAGAAAATTGTAATTTTTTTCTGCTCCCCCGCAAAACAACAAAAGATACAGCCATTAATAATTAATTATTAATTGGAAAATACTCTATTATTATGGTCAGAATTTCCCAAACGGTTCACTTTAAACTAAAAAACTTTATTTTTTCCAAAAAAATATTTGTTTCTGACTCATCTTAATAAATGTTTGTTATTTATTTATAAAATGTTAATAAAAAAATATGTTCTTCATGTTTTAACAAAAAAAAAAAAAATTGTATTATATTCCTTTAAAGTCTCCCAGTATAAAACTGTTGAGAAAGCAATTTTTATTTCTTTTTGTTAGAACATAAAAAATATTTTTTTATTAACATTTCATAAACAAAAAACAAAAATTTATAAAGACTAAAAAAAATTTGTAATTAAAAATTGTTCTTATATAGTGTAATTCAAGACGGAAAACCCTTTTTTCAATTTTTAAATCCGTCAATTAACAAATTTATGTTAATTATAAGGTAAAAATAAATAAAATCAATTCATTTCTTTAGAATTGATTATTAATATAATTTAATTATATTTCAAATACTAATAAATTAGGTATAAATAATATAGATAATTTATTTGTTAAATATAAATAAATTATAAATAAAAAAAGGTTCTTTCCAATTGTTTAAAAAATAGTAATAAAAATTTTTGATCGACCTTTTTTATGATGAAATTTTAGCCACAAATTTATTTATTTACTGTTAGTAAATTGTTATTCCTGACAAAAATTACTGTGAAAATAAATTTTGCAATTTTTTTTTTTTAGAAATTAACACTTAGAGAAAAATTGCTAAAGAATATTTTAATAGCAATTTTTGTTACAAAGAATTCAAATGTTCTGAAAATAAAAATTTATCAAAAAATTTTTGGGCTATGAAAATTTTTTTCTTAAAAAAAAAATTATTTTTAAAAACTTTTTTCCTTTTATATTCTTTATTTCTCATCGAATCAGTTTATTTTTTTTTTGGAAAAACTTCCTGATTAATAAAGAAAAAACTTTCTCGCGAGAAGTTTTCATAATTCGAAAATTCGTCGCATACTTTTTCTCCTTGAAGATTAAAATTCCTGTTATTGTATATAACAACTTTCAAAATTAATAACTAATAAACAATTTGATTTTTTGGACTTTTTATTTGTTTGTAGGCTTCGGTAAGGTATATTGTGCATGCCTTAAAAAAAATCGGTTCATTTCATTAATACTTGACTGAGAAATGACGATATATTTATCAAAAGGTAATTAATTTTTAAGAGAGAAAATTTTTAGTTTTTATTTTTTAATGTTAATAAATTGCATTTGAGAAAAAAATTGTAATTAGAAAAAAGATGTATTTTTTTCTCCTCTACAACGTCATAATTTTTAAATATTTTTTTTTGAGTTTTAAAATTTCATAACATAGCTGAGGGTTGGACAATACTTCTGCGTATGTTCGAGCGAAAAGCCGATTCTTCTATCCAGCTACACAATTATGTAATTTAAAAATAAATTAAATATATTATAAAAAGAAGCTATGTCAGAATTTGAAAAATTGTTTCGAACGACTTTTCTAAAATCATTCTAAAATGAATAAATTGAAAACGAACCTTAAGTTTTTAAGAAATTCTCGAGCACGCGCATTATAGAACCACTGACCTGTCAAAATTTTTTTTAGGTTATGTCGTTTTATATATTTGCTTGTTTTCCTCAGTTTCATTTTTCATTTTTATCACGTAGTTTTTTATCAAACATATTGTGATTCCAAAGATGAAATGAAACAATTATTTTTTCATTACAAATACAATAATCAATTGTTACAAGAAAAATGAATAGTTTAGGTTTGAGTTTAATTTTCAAAATGGGTTGCATTTGCGCCAAAGAAACTTGTACAATAAATGCAAGAAAATACACAATTCGCGAACATCTTGCTGAGGGGTAAGTTGAATTTTTTAAATGTTTTTCTTTATTTTTCAAATGTGTATCAAATATGGAATTTTTCGTATATTTTTCTATCCATATAATTAGTTATTAAATGCTTGTTAAACATTTCCGCAGGTAAGTTCTTTAAGATATTGTCAATTTTGAGAAACAAATTTATTTTTTTATTTCGTTTATTTATTTTTTAATTTATTTTGACTCTAAATTTATATTCACTGGAATTAATATAAAAATTATCATCTTGGTAAAGAATTGTTTTCTATTTTTGGAGGTAACCTTTAAATTTTGTTTACATAGCATAAAATTAGTTTTGCCTTTAAAAAGAACTTAAAATTATTTTCGAGGTAGAAGAAATATTTTTTTATTTAATAAAAAAAATTGTTTCAATTTAATATATAATTGAAATTTGTATTTAATTTTCCATTTTTACTAAATATGGTTGTTTTTTCCAGAGGATTTAGTACAGTATCGTTAGCGGAGGATTCTCTCTCTCACAAAAAGTATGCAATTAAAAAAATTATTTGTCACGGTTTCGAGGATCAACGACTTGCGCTTAAAGAAATTGAATATCACACAATTCTGAAACATCCAAATATTATTGAATGCATTGACTCGACACAACAAGGAAGCGCCGATCCGGTTTTAAATATAACCAGTGAAGTTTTATTAGTCCTTCCTTATTATCACGTAAGTGGAAATATTTATTTGTCATGTTAAAAATTTCAGTTTTCCATTTAATTTTCTCTTTTTTTCATTCTCTTTTTTTATATAAAATTTTATCTATTTCTGTATTAATCGGCTGATGACTAAGGCCGTCTGAATTATAGAGATAAAAATCAATACAAAAATGTAATAGAATGTTTGTAGGAAAACTTTAAATTAACGTTATAAATATCGACGTTAAACTATTTTACTACAATCTGGGTTTTTAAATTTTACTTCAATTTTTTAAAAATATTTTCAAGATATATTTATTAAATTAATTTAAAATGGATTTTTAATTAATTATTTCTCTTTTTTTAGAAAGGAAGTTTAGCAAATGAACTTGAGAGGAGAGCAAGGATCAATGACTATTTAAGTCCTCTCGAGATATTGCATATGTTTTTACAAATTTGCGAGGCAGTTAAAGTCTTTCACGAGGCGAAACCAGAAGCACTCGCCCATCGTGACTTAAAGACTGCAAATATTCTTCTTGGCGATGGAATGACGCCAATTATCATGGACCTAGGTTGAAATAATTCATTAATTTTAAATTTTTAAACAAATTTAATATTTCTTATATTTTTAGTTGATTTTTTTTTATTGTTTACAAATTTAATTGTAATAATTGTTCTGCCACTTACATTCGGTGAATCAAAACGTAATTTGGAAAAAAAATCAAACATAAAAACAAAAAAAATGGAATCTGTTGTTAATGAACATCAAACTACACTTAATCATTCTTTCAATTTTGATGAAGTCAAAATTGTAGATTTAGAGTCAAATTAATTAACTTTTGGCCTAAATTTTAAATATAAATATGATAGGGTTCCGGTTACGATTAAAGAAGTTACTAGAAAGTTAATAAAGTTAATTAAATTAAAATTAAAATTACTAAAGTTAATAGAATTTTTAAATTCTATCCTAGGTTCTGTAGCGCCTGCAAGAGTGAAAGTTTGCGGCAATCAAGAGGCACAAACTCTTCAAGATTTAGCAGCCGAAAGATGTTCAATGCCTTACAGAGCCCCTGAATTATTTAATGTGGAAAGTTATTGTATGGTTGATGAACGAACTGACATTTGGGTATAAAATTACAATAATTTAACATTTTCTTTTAATATTTATTTTTAAACAATTTTTTTTTTAATTTTAGACTATTTTAATTACTACTTTAACAACTATTTTAATTAGTTTATTTAAATATTTATTTATTTCTCTATTTTTTCTCTAAAATTAATAATTTATAGTATTAAGTATAGAAATAATTACAATAAGTAAAAAGAAAAATATTATCTTTCAGTCTCTTGGCTGTATTTTGTATGCACTTTGTTACTTTAAATCGCCATTCGATTCTGTCCATGAAAGAGGTGATAGTGTCGCTCTCGCTGTTATCAGTGCGAATATTAATTTTCCGGAAAATTCACCTTACAACGAAGTGAGTATTTTTTCATATTTTCTAAACTTTACTAATTTGACGCCTTAATGAAATAAATATTTTTTTTTCTCTTTTTTGCAGGATATGAAAGACTTAATACTTTCGATGTTAAAATCGAATCCAATGGAACGTCCATATATTTATAGTGTTATTGAAAATGTCCTCGACGTAATATCGAAATTAGAAGGAAGGGTATAATTTTTATTTTCATTTTTATTAATTCATTAATTAATTCTAAAAAACAAATTGTATTTTACAGTTCAAAGAGAGGTATTTTTAATTTGTTTTTTGCAAAATTTACAGTATTTCCTTTTGTTCAATTAATAAGGAGTTTTTTTGTATTATTTTTTCGTTGATTTTAAATTCTTTAAAACAATTACTAAATCGTTTCGAAAGAATTTTCTTTAGGGTTAATTTTTGATGTGCAATCTGTTAAATTTTTTTTAACACCACTTGTTGCTTCCTCAGGGAATATTTTTATTTGTTTTCACAAAGAATTTTTTTTTGTCGAAATTAGTACATTTTTTATTTTTTAATATCATTTTATAAATAATAATAATTAAAGGGAATGGATGTAAATGTTTTATTAAGTATGCATATAGGTTCATATATATTTATATTTAAGAAATCTGTAGATAAAAAAGATTAAAAAAATAATTTTTAATTATGATCTTTATTTTTATTTAAATACGTAAAATGTAAATAATTAAAAATATCGTATCAAATTTAATTCAAATATATTGTATAAAAAAATAACAAAGAGGACCAAAGTTTAATGAGTATTTTTTCTTCCAAATAAATATTTTCACCTGCTTTTTTTCCTTTTTTAGTTTTTTTATGATTTATATTGTTATTTGTCTTTTTACAGGTTTTCTTTTGACTTTTTTTATTTTTCTTCAATGATATTTTAATTTTTTTATTTTAATCTGTTGTGCTGTAAATTCCGCTTTTGACTATTGACGCATAGGTGCAAGTGATTCTGAAAGTACAAATGATTCTGTTTCTAATTTGGAATCAATCAACATGAAGTTTGTACAATTTGCAATCTAAAAAAGAATGAAACTTTAAATCATTTTTTATTTGAGTGCCCGATTTATGAAGGGTATAGAAATTTTTATTTGAAGAAGCTAGAGTTTGGATACGACTTGAGCCAGCTGTGCAATGCGCCTGACGAGAAAAGTTTAAAGAATATTTGTCACTATATAATAAATAGTTTACTACTGCGAGCATTTATGTTAAATGAATGAATTACCAAATAATAATTGTATAAGCGGAAATTCCTGCTACAAAATGTATAATTTTTAAAAGCAGAAATAAATAATAATAATAATAATAATAAATAATTTGGAATCGAGTAAATCCAATAAGGGTAAAAGAAGAGTAAAAAGTCCGAAAAAGAAAGTGGAAACGAAATGTTCTGCAAAAATAGAAATAAATGACCAAAATCAGCTGTTCGATTACTTTTACAATTTCGAAGAAAAAGAACGACAAGATATATGTTTAATGTCATGTCTTGAAAAAGTTGCTAAACTTACAGAAAGTGTTTTTGAACATTTTAAACTTTTCATGCAAAAAAAAAATCTTTTTTAAATTAAAATGATTTAACCCTTAAATATATGTTTAGAAATAAAAAATTCAAAAAATAGAGAAAAATATGTTAAAATTAAAGTTATTTTTAATTTAAAGTAAAATTTTTACTGATTTAATTTGAAAATGAAGAAAAGAGAAATTTTTTATTTTGAATTTGGCGCTAATGCGCGCGCAGAAAATAATAGATGGCGTTGAGAAAAATAATTGTTGTCCTGCTGCTGCTTCTTGAAATCGAAATATTTCAACCCAGTTCCATTGAGGGTAGTAGTAACTCTTGTGATTTCATTAGTTGTGGGTGGTAATTTTTTTCTCTCTTGCCTCTTTTCTCGCCGTTTTGAGAAAAGAAATTTCAGTGAAAAATCAAAAATACCTCTCGGATATTAAATAATTTCAATCAACAATATTCTGTAAGTTTCTCTCTACTTTTTTTCATTTTCAAAATATTTTCTTTCACTTTAATAAATAATATTGCGTTTTTTCTCCCTTAACTACTTCTTTTATATATATGTATATATAACTCTCCTCACTCTCCTCGAAAGCATTCCAAAAAAAACAAATTTGCCTTTAAATATTTCTTTTTCTTCACGATTTCTATCTTTATTCACTTTGGGACTTGAAGTGAATTAAAAATCAAAAAAATAATATAATAATTTTTCAAAAATTTCCATTTTCTTCAAATAATTGTTTTCTTCATCTGTTTTTTAAATTAAACGACCGGGAGAGTTGCGCCTAACATAACCTCACTCTTTTTTCTTTCTCCCTCTCAAAAATATACTTTTTGGAGTAGAATGACAATTTTTATATACTAATTTTATATATTCGAAATTTTCCATTTTTCAAATTTTTTTTTCTTTAATTATATTTTGTTACTATTGCTTTTATGTCTCAAAAACAAAAAATTATAATAAATAAAAATTTATTATTCATAAACTTCATAAATTATAATTTTGAAAATTTTCAATTTTCTTAATTTTTTTTTTATTTTTGAATTTTCAAAAAATGGAGATAATTAAAAATTATGGATGGTAAAGGAAAAATAAATGTTTGCAAAATAAAAAGAATAGTATAATTTATAATATAATTCTCTTTTAAATAAAACCGGTGATAGTTTTTACAGACCGGAAGTGGGGAGAGAGAATTAAATCGGTTTTAATCTCATGACAATGTGTAAGTGTGTTATATATATATACAAAAATTAGAGGAAGCATTCTTTTATACTGTTATTAAATTTTAATTGAATAATTCGTTACTTGCGATTAGAATAAAATTTGATTATTTCTTTTTCTTTTATTATTTATAAATATAATTATTTTACATAAGAAAATAATAAATTATAAAATATAATAATACAAGGTTATAAATTATTATAATTCTAAATTTTGAAAAGTTTATTATAATTATATTGTTTAAATAATTTGATATAATTAATTATAATATAAATATATAATTATAATAATTATATATTGTAAATAAATAAATAAATATTAATATAATTATAATATAAATATAATTTACTTTAATATTTATTATTATTAATAAATAGTGAAATTTAACGATCACTCCCAGTCATGGAAAATAAAAATAAAAGAAATTCAATTCTTTTTACGTTGTTTACGTATTTAAAAAATTTACGACACATTAAAATTAGCAGACAATGTATTTCTGTTAAGTTATTGTTAGGTTGTTTGAAAATTGTGACAAATGATGATTTTATAAAAAAAATATTAAACCTTTTCACCATTAGATTCAAAAGGGTTTATATTTATTATTGATTTGATTTTATAAGACATGACTTGAATGAATAATTTAGATGTATAAAATTTAAACAAATGCCAATTTGACGACGAAAAATTTTTGTCATTTGGCATTTAAACTTATCAAAAGTTATAAAAAGTTATAGTTTAGAAAAGAAAAAATATCTGAATTTCATTCTAATTAAAAGAAGCATTAGGTATGTTCAAAATTGTACTATATAAATAATATTTTATACAAATATTATTAAAAACAAAAATTATTCTTATGACAAGTTAAGAATTTCAAATATTTTACTAGTTAAAAACATTATTAAATCAGAAGTTTGATAATGTTTTAGTATATTAAACAAAATTTCTGAAGTTTGATTAATCGGTTAAATGATTTTCGGTTAAGTGGTAATTTGGACAACTGGTAATTATAAGATTTTACGGCACCTCGTCCTCTTCAGAACTATAATTTATTATAAAACAAAATATTAAAAAAAGATTTTTTACAATTTTTTGATTAACAATAAAAAATTAAAAAATAAAATATTTACCGAAAAAAAGAAAATTAAAAAATTAAAATTATAAATTAAGATAGGCACATCTTTGTCGCTACGGTTACAATATGACACTAAACAAATATATATTTATTAATATATTTATTATTATTATTTACGATTATTATTTTTATATTACTATTGTTATTATTATATTGTCAAAAGCGTTTATTTTTTATTTTTATTTTTTTATAAAAATTAAACAAAATTTTTTTAAAATATCTTACATTCATATATCTTAATTTTATTATTTAAACACTAATTTATCAATTAAATCATCTCAAATGTTAATATAAAAAAATTGTAAGTTATACAAATATAAAAATTATTTAAGAACGCCTAAAATATTTTATTTTTTAAGAAAATTTGAAAAATATAAATTTTTGATAAGTTTCTGCAATGTGGTTTCGGTGATGACACCGCAAATGTAAATTTTTTTTGCGCAACAACATATATATATATATTTTTTTTTTTCAATGCCCTATACGTTAATTATTAACGTTAAGAAAAATTCTTTGTAAATCGAGTAAATTTGAAGTTTTATTTTGCAATTCTTTTGTTGTTAATGAAACAGAAAAAAGAAGGGAGGAAAGGAGAAAAAGGGAAAGAGAAAGAAAATAAGAGAGGTCAAGGCCAATGTTTCGTTTGGGGTCAAATTCAATCCAAAGAAAAAGAGAGAAAGAGGATGATGATTGATTGATTTAAAGTCAGGCTATTGTCACGTGACTCATTTCATTTTTGCTACTGTGTTATATGTACATATATATATAGAAACTTTTTTTTTTTATTTTTTAAAAATTCTAGAGATCGATTAATAGTTAAAATAAAAAATTTTGATTCTTATTTGTAAAAATAAAATTTTTTAAATAATTTCTAATATACTTTTTAAATATTTAAAAAATAGACATCGATTAATATGTTAAAATTAAAATTTTTGATTCTTATAATATTTATTATAATATTAACATAATATTTATTTGCTCAATTATATTCTTAATTACATTAAATTTAACTAACTGAAAGTATACTTAAAAATTATTTTTAAATTAATATAATATAGGTTTTATAATAATTAAAAAATAAAGAAGGATATTTAAAACAAAAATGGAATATTTTAATTATAACAATTTTAATTAATATTTAAAATTTAATTTCTTTTTCTTGTTTAAAATAAAAAAAAAATAGCAAAAATTGAGTAAAATTTATAATTAAATTTTTTTTTGTAATATTTGAATGTTTCCGTAACGGGAAAATTTTTTATATTGAAAAGTCGAGTTCCTCTTCATTCTTGAAGACACTATAAATGTATCATTTTTGCTTCAACATCTAAAAATAACTTTAGAATCTCTTTCATTATCAGATAATGATGTTTTCAAAGACACTAAATTTCAGGGTAAACAATTTTCTATCTTTCATTTCAACTGTATTTTTCCATTTTCTTCTCTATCAGGAAACTAAATTTTACTTCTTTTATATATTTATATAAATTATGAAATTTTCGTCTTTAAGACATTGTTATTATTTAATTCTTGTTAAATTATCATTTTTTACAAGTACTTTTTATAAGAAAATAATATATTTATTTATTTTCGAATACTTTTGCAAAATCAAAATTTCTGGTTTTTTAATTTTCATATATTTTTATAAATAATATTTTGCATGTTTCTTTCTTACATTTTTTAAGCATAAAATGTTTTGCGGTTTATTTCTCATTC